TTTTTATCCAAACAACACCTATCAATCCAAAAAAAATTAAAAACCGTTTAACTAGTTCTTCTTTAAAAAAATACTTGGGGAAAACATAAAGCCAAAATATAATAATTTGAAATTATCTAAACGATCATTAGCGGAGTAGTAGTTGTAAAACAGAGTAACCTTTGCATAGTAAAACCGATATAAGCCGAAAACGGAAGTTTAGTATCTCAAAAAAAAAAGAAGAAAAATGATAGGACAATATATACGTTGTTAGAAAAAGGAACTCAAATAAGGAGGGAAAAAGAAAAAAGAGAGGGAAGTTCGTTAAAATTATCCACAAATTGGGGTTGACCGAAAGAAAGCGGGAAACGACGGCTTTTAACTCGTCTATTAAATTTCTTTTTTTTTGTTTTGTTTTAACAAATTATATCATATTTATTTATGTATGAACCTTGATGATAAATTTAAAAATAATGTCTATGGGAGTAATAATTTTAATTAAAAACTTAAAACATGGAAAACTGAAAATGAAAGGATTTAGTCAAACACGTAACACTGGTCTACATCCATGGACTAAGTCTTTTAAGAAACCAACAACAAGCTACACAATCCCCTAAAATCTGGTGAAGTGGTTGCAATAAGCTTTGTGAGTTAGAAGAAATTAATAACATAAAACTTCCATTTACTTAATTATTTTCCTCTACATATACTAGGATAGAAGAGGTTAATGCTTACTTTCTACGTTCTTCCTCACAAAAACCATTTGCAGTAAACATCAAAGCATTTTATCACTTTCGTTCATAGTCCAGCCGCAAAATATTGTATCCCAAAATATAGACCTCAACCCGATTCCAATTAATATATGCATAATTCAAGTTGAATAAAATAATTCCAAGTGGAAAGAAGCGCATCTTGAGATTTCAAACTTGGCTGTCTTCTCAAGAGAATTTAAGGTGTGGGATTTACAATGCTTTTTTTTTTCAAAAGAGATTCATAAAACTGTGGAAACAATATACATGTATAAATCTTTATGCTTGTTTCTAAATTCAATTGAATTTATATATCTGTTTGAAATTGTTTTATTTATCCCGCAAATGTTTAATTTACGCCAATATTTTTGTGAGGAACGCTCAGCAGTTTATGGAAGGAACACTCGGCTGAATCAATTAGCTACAAAGGGAATCCAATAAGAAGGTATCATAATTTTAAACTAACCAATTTAGTTAGAGTTGATAATCATGAACTACTTTATTATATTGAGAGCAACTTTTCTTAATTATTATACATATTCTAGCCTCATATAGATTTTAATACATTTATTACTACATTTATTTCTTCTTAACTTTTCGGTTATTCTTTAATACGATGTAAAAAATTTCTCTTATGGTATTCCATTTACAGTTTCTTTTTGTAAAATGTAAAACTAAAATTACTCCATTGATGTCAGACTTTCTTCTCTTTTATTTTTCTTGTTTCCTTTTTCCCTTATTAAGATGAATACGTCAATCAGAAATGTCAAAGCTGGAAACTTATGACCACTTATAAATATATACCAAGGTTTACGAATATGATCCAACTGACGCAAGGGGAAGCCTATCAATCGGAATTGATCTAGGTTTACGAATATTCAGTCCATCAAAATTACCGAAAACCAAAAATCAACACTAGTTTAAATCACCAACACATGGATTAAGATAAACTAGTATATTAATTCGATCACCAACACATGGACCAAACGTATTAGGTTGGAGAATAAAATCTCATTTTCATTATAAAAAGAACCAAACTTTACAATACCGGCTAATCCCTTTAAATCGAAAGGAAAGACATAAAAGAACCCTAATCAACTATACTTAAATTACTTTTGCACCTCCGGCTCCGGTATAAGAAGGGTTTTTTTAGTTGATCGTCAGCCATATTATTTCTATTGTTTGTTGTTTATGTTCTATCCGCTAGTGATCGATATTGTAACAATGACATAAATGCAGATTGTTTGGTTTAAAAAAGAACTTAAATTACTAAAATACCCATTATGATAAAACCCTAATCTACTTATTTATTTTATTCTATCCGTCATCAGAAACTATATAGGAGCAACTGATAGGAGTAACAGGAGATGAGATCTTATTGAATCAGGAAAGGGAATTATACAGAGAGTTTATTCAAACCAGTAAAGCCTAAGAGAGTTTCCTTCAACAAAAAGCAAAGGAGGGTGAAACAGGGAGATTCAAACAGCTCTTTTTTTCGTGCCAAGATGAGGATCAAGAATATGTGTAACAGGATTAGCTCTTTTGTCAAGGAGGATGGTGAATTAGTTACAGATTGGCATAAAGTTAAAGATCATTTTATTGGTTTTTTTTCAGAAATAGTTGGGACAAAGCAGTTGGAAACAAACTTCTCGGAGGGAAATTTTTAAACTTGGGCCTGTGCTAGACTGGAAACAACAAGTGAGCTTACTTCAAAAAGCGTCACCTCAGGAAGTGAAAAGGGCTATACGGGGGTATTCACAGCTGAAAGAGTCCAAGCTTAGATGGTTATGGCAGTGGTTTTTTACAAAGGGGCATGGTCAGTAATCAAGGAGGATTTCACTAAAGCTGTTCTGGAGTTTTTTGAGCATGGAAAGCGGCTTAAGCAGGTAAATTCAGCTCTTCTAGCACTTATTCCCGAAAACAGTTCTCCACAAAATGCAACGGAATATAGTCCAATTGCTTGTTGCAATGTGTTCTATAAATGTAGATTGAAACCTGTTTTAACAAAATTTGTTGACAAAAATCAAAATGCCTTTGTAAGTAATAGGTTAATCCTTCATAACATATTACTTACTCAGGACTTCATTAAATTGTATGCTCGTAAGAATATTAGTGGCAGATGTTTGTTAAAGATTGATCTTCGTAAAGCCTATGACTCAGTGGAGTGGTGTTTTATAGAAGAGATGTTAGAAGGATTTGGTTTCCCTAGTTCTTTTTCCCAGAAAGTCCTAGAATGTGTTAAGTCCCCCTCCTTTTCTATTGGGTTAAATGGGGTCAATAGAAAATTGAGACAAGGAGATCCTATGTCCACTATGTTATTTGTGTTGGTCATGGAGTATTTTACTCGACTTATGAAAGAGGCAGCTACGAATAAGCGATTTCAGTTCCATCCACAGTGTAAAGGTTTGGGTTTAAAAAATATCTGCTTTGCAGATGATCTAATGATCTTCTGCAAGGCGGATATCTATACTGTGTCTAAAGTTATAGAGGTTGTGGAGAGGCTTTGTGAGACCGCATGGTTAGTAGCTAATCAGGCTAAGTTAGAAATCTTTTTTGGAGGAGTTTTCGAGGAATTAAAGGGCCAGTTGTGTAGTTTGACAGGGTTTTGTATGGAAAAATTTCTGATGAAATATGTAGGGGTTCCTATACCTCATCGAAAATGGAATAAGGCAGATTGTGAAGTTTTGACTGAGAAAATTGCTGCTAAGATTAGATGCTGGAGTACTGAGCATTTAAGTTACACTGGGAGGCTGCAGTTGGTTAATTCTGTGCTAATGTGAATGAATAATTTTTCGGCCTCCATTATTTTCTTACCTCATAGTGTCCCACAGCAAGTAAACAGGTTATGTGGATGCTTTCTTTGGGGTATAAAGGATAATGGCAAAAGCCTGGCACTTGTGAGATTGGATAAATTCCGCCAACGAAAGAAAGAAGGGGGGCTTACTATTCGAGATGTCAAGACTTGGAATGAAGCTGCATTGATCAAACAAGTATGGTGCATAATCATGTATGGTGTTGCCAAGGAGGACAATTTGTGGATCAAATGGATCCATAAACAGTATAGAAAGAGGCACAACTTCTGGCATATGCAACAAACGCAGAATTCTAGTTGGCACTAGAGAACAATGTTGAAGGCTAAAGACAGAGTTAGAGATAAACTGGAAGGGTTACGGTGGAAACATACAACATCAGGTATATACTCTCTTACTTCTGGGTATAATTAGTTAGTGGGGACGGCTGATGAAATACCTGCAACTGTGTTTATATGGGCGAGATTTAATGTGCCCAAGCATTCCTTTATTGTATGGCTCTTCTGGCAAGACAAATTGCTCACCAAAGACAGGTTGGTGAAAAGAATATGTTACATGATAAGTTGGAATGTGAACTTTGTCAGAATGTACAAGAATGTTTTGCTCATCTTTTCTTTGACTATGGCTTTGCATCTGAGCTGCTAAAAGCTGTTGGTAATTAGTTATGTGTTGATTTGCGGGGTGTGCAAAATCAATGGAGGCTTCAAGTATTCAGAGTGTGGAAGTAGCGTAAGCTAAGGAGGAAGATTTTCTTTGCGGTTATGGCTGATGTGATTTATCATGTCCGGGAGGAAAGGAACAGAAGGCTCTTTACTGGAAAAGAAAGAACATTGGAGATGGTACTCAGGATCATTAAATAGGAGGTCCAATGGAGGATTGAGCATTGTATGGGACAAGTGAATTCTGCTAAGGCAGAAGGAATTGTGAGAAGTCTTTTTAAGATACTAATGTCTAGTATTGTTTTGTTCAGTTGAAGATCATCAAGAAAAGGGTAGTTTATTGGTTGTAAATATAACTGTTTGCTGCATATCGATATATATTTACATTTTAACCAAAACAATTATTTAAAATAAATTTGAAGAGTTTTGTTAAGAGGCTGTATGGAAAGACTTTATGTTATATTGGAATTTGGGTTTAAATGGGCCTCCAAAAGTTTTTTGGATCGTTAAAGGTTGTCTATACAGGGCCTAAATGTCTCCTCATCCTCATCACTATATAAATAGTGTGTTGTATTTATCTCGTGGTCACACACATGTTTTTCACTCATAATCCTCTGTCGGCTCCTTCTCCAGTTTAGTTCACCGCAGTTCAGTTTTGGGTGTATATCGGTTGCTTCAAAAAAAATCCACACAAGATCTAATTTTTTTTTTGGAAGTTAATTATTTCGTTCCGAAAAATCCACACAAGATCTAAAAAAATCCACGCATAATCCTCTTGTCAGTTTTTTCTCTTGCAGATCAGCATGGATCGTCTCCATAATTCATCATCAAAGCCTCCTTCTGAATTGTGAGTCCTCAAATTCGCTGCAATTTTTTTTTTTCTGATTTCAACTTTGTGGTTTTTTTTTGGGTTAAAAGTGAATTTCATCATTTGTGTTATGTTTCGATCTTGGTGATGATGATATCGATGTTCACAAATTTTTATACCTATGTTTTTTCTCTTTGTGCTCTTTGAAATTCTGTGTATCTGTATTACAATTTCTTGACCATCTTGGTTCACTTGAATTTAGTGAAAATGTGTCATTAATATAGTGTCTTTGATATTTCTACTTTTCTGATCTGATGCCTCACTTTTTGTTGCCCAAATGAATTAAACCCTTTTCCTTCAAAATTTTGTGGTCTTTGGCTCTCTTGGCAATTTAGAAAATGATCATTTGACCAAAGTTTTGATATTTTATGCACATGGGTAACTTATGCATGAATTATCATTTCTGAGTGTTCTTATTTATTTTGGTTTTTATTGCGCATATCACGGTTTCCTTAGATAGAATGATATTTTCAAGTGTACTTTAAGGCGGATGTATTGTAGATCAATTCATGGCACTTATTATATGATAGTGATGATTATTTCCCAACATTCAGAATTAGATTTCCCGTTTTGATAATGCATATCGAACCTTTGGTTTATCTTTTATAGAATCTCTAGCACGAATGGTTATCTTGCGGCTCTCATTCACAAATTTTCCCATTTTGAATATGTAAACATGATTTCTTTATTTTTATTTTTTTTGTAAACTATGCATCTACTCTTGAGTGGTATGGAAGATCATGGGTTTGGGCGTGGTTTATTTTTTAGTTAACTTAGAAAACTAAGAAGCCAATATTGGTTTTTCCACTTGGGTATAGTACAATATTTCTCGTTTTCTATTGAGTTTGGAGCAAATTGTTAATTGCTCTCCATTTCCTAATTTGAAGTGCCAGGCAGAAGCGCCCGATCGTATATGACACAACAGATGCCATAAATTATATGAAGGAAGTTAGGGATACCTACTTAGATCAAAGAGAGAAATATGATGAGTTCATTGTCCTTATGAGGGCGTATAAAGATAAAAGGTGTATCTCTCAAACTTTCTTGAATACCAAGTTTTTAAATTTCATATATTTCAGGATTCAATCCCATTCAATATTGCTAACTCGTTGATACATTTTGCAGGGTTGACGATCTGGGTGTCATTGCCGGGCTAAAAAAACTGTTTGTAGGAAATCATAACTTACTTCTTGGATTCAACAAATTTTTACCCCAGGGGTATGAAATAACCGTTGATGATGAAGAAGAGGGTAACCCCAATGAGAAAATTAGGGAATCCGAGCTGGCTCTAGGTTTCGTCGAGAAGATAAAGGTTATGTTTATTTCCAATTTGTGCACACCGTAGTTTTCTTTCAAAAAATTGTTGTTCATTTTGTTGAACTCTGAGAGAGTTTCAATTTTATGTTTTTAGTTGGTTTTTAAAATAGAACCTTTTGGACTGTTTTGCTTTGCAGAAACGTTTTGAAAGTAACAACCATGTCTGCAATTCTTTCCTACACCATTTGGATGCGTACAAACATGGACGCATGAGCTTTGATGAGGTCTACCGTGAGGTTTGTATCCATTTCTACTTAATTTGTGTATTATTATTATTTTTTTTTTCATGTTTGGCATATTCATCCTTCATAACTTACAAATATTTTGCATTTACATTCCACAGGTTGCTTCACTTTTCAAGTACCACCCTGATCTGTTGTCCGAGTTCACAAATATATTCTGAGAATTGATTTCTCATCTCTTATGTATTACTAAATGACTAGATGGGATTAATCTTGTTTGTTGTTATATGGATGGATATTATGTCCTTATGTCCTATTTGTTATGAATTCGTGAGATGTTAAACATTTGTAAGATGAACATCTGAAGTTGACATTATGTTACTTTTTAAAATAAGATTATGGACAAAGTTGTTACATCTCTTCTCTGCCGCTGAACTCAATCTGCTAGAAATGGTTTTTTTTTTTTTCGTAACACCTATAAATGTATCAAATTACCAGTTCATAATTGGAATTGTGAAGGATTCTTGGTAAAATGTCCAGGGAGGGTTAAGTTAATTTTTTGACCAAATGTGTGATTGACGTAGTGTGGATAAAAATTTTGATTCAGTTTTTAAGTTTGGAAAATTAAACTACTAATGAGCCGCCAAATCCCGCCCAAGTTTCTTTGTTGAAATAAAGTGATCCGATTTGATTTTGAATTAGGTAGTGTAAATACGAATGTATGTCTATTTGAGTACCCAATGAAGCTTCAGTTTCAAGAGATTATTTTCACAATGGATCGAACAGTATACAATGAACAAACTTTCTTGACTTCTGAAGAGAACCTTAATTGGACGACGTTTTGAAAAGAGGAGATTTTTAGTATGGGAATTAAGGAGGAATAGATTACCTTATTGTAAGAGTTTCCGTTTCCGCTACTATCGAAGAGCCAAGTGCATGGACTCCTTCCCAAATACTAAAACAAGTAAATTAAAGTAAAGTTTTTTTCTTTCTCTATTTGGTAAAAAAGTTAATTTCATTACCATTGTAAGAAGCAAAGTAAAGGTTGGTGTAAAAAAACAAAGTGATATTCTTTGTAAACATAAGGTTTGTCTCAACTTGAGACTTTTCAGTTCGTACCAAAAATCATCTGATTTTCTTTAGTTAAGATATTCTATTTGGGCGTCGGACTCTATATGGTCAACCACCCCTCTACTCTATCGTCAAACATCAACTCGCTTTCGCAACAAACAGATGAATTTGAATCAATAGCATGGCATAGTGAGGAGGAATTTTTTAATTGAAAAATTTGTGTATCGTATTGATTAAGTGGACACAGTAAATATATTTTTGTATTATATTAATATGACCATTTAAAAGATAGCAATTGTACAAAATAAAAGTAACAAAATGTTAGTACAAATATCCCTTGGCTAGCATACTCGTCGCCGAAACGCATTTTTGTTGATCACCAAACTTATGAGACATTCTCTCGGGCTCGTAATTTTTTATTTATTATTTTTCTGGTCAGGTGTTCTCCCTGTCGATTTTCATGTTTCGTATTCCTCCATGTCAAAGTATATATAAGTACTTTAGACTCCCATCTCAAAACCAATGGGCAATGAGGGGAGTAACCCATGGAGTTTATATATTGATGCACAGAGTCTCCCAACACCAATGTGTGGTTGGGACTCTTTAATACTCCTCCGCAAGCCCAACTTATTTTGTTTTTGGGTTGGGCTTTTGTCCTATTTTTTCAGCCCCGGCACTGTTTCACGTCTCAACCCCATTTTTTTGTTGGGTTCTTTTGGAGTCCGAATATTGGCAGGCTGGCTCTGATACCATATAGAAGCCCATGGGGTTCTACCTCAAAACCAATTAGCAAAGAGGAGAGTAGCCCATGGAGCTTATATATTGATACTCAAGTCTCTCAATACCAATGTGGAGCTGGGACTCTTTGATACTCCAGACTCTAGAGACACCATGAGCATATGCGGCGCAAACATACATCCCAAAGCATTTTAGAGCACTTATACACATCAACTCTAGCAAGAAGCTCAATGAAGGTTGTACTTGGACCAATGTAAGCTTGTTCCAACTCTAGCAAGTGCATTTCGGAGCTCTTATACACACCATAAATGATGAATGTTAAACCAACAATGAAAACCTGATTTGTTTTGTTTTCCATTACAATACATTATGAATACAAGAAATTTGGATCACTTTTTTGCAAACCATACATAAATATCCTCTCTTTCGATTGTATCATCGCCTTCACATTCTTGTTACCATAGGGGAATGTTTATGTGTTTGTGATCATGATGGTGTTATTATATTAATTATAGGATGTAAAAAAAGCTAAGAAGAAAGCTGGTTTTTGGTGCTAGCCGGTGGTGGCGGCAGAGGACAAGAGGATTGAGGATAAAGGATTTAAAGTTGGAACCAGCAGAGAAGGAAGTGATTATTAATTAGGGAAAGAGGTGGAGACTTTTTAAGGGTTGGAATTTTGCTAGCTACATAACTTAAAATTAGAAGGGTGGGAGGTTGGATGGCAAGGGTTAGGATAGTTCGTGGTGCTAATCAATTTTCTTATGAGAAAGAAATGACTTAGAATAAGAAGCCCTTAATCTTTCTGTATTTAACCCACAGTTATTTGGATTTTGAGCAAATTTAATAATTGGGATTTTGATTTACCATTCATTCCATGCATTCTTCTTCATCAATTTTTGCATGCTTAGGCAAGACGCAACTACTATATATACGATGTTGAAAAAAAGTACATTTTATTTGAAAGATATTTCATATTCATCATTCATGTAACTGGTGGAGGCCGTATACATGCTAGTTAGTCTACCTTGTACAAAAGCTCCTTGGTTCTGATCAATCAATTCAGGCAGTACAGCACTCAATCTTTTACACAACATTTTAGATATGCATTTGTAGAAAGTTTTGCAACAAGAGATGGGTCTATATTCAGTTGCGTCTTTAAGACAGTCATTTTTTGGGAACAAAGAGATAAGTGTGGAGTTCATCTGTTTCATGATCTTACCTGACTGGAAGAATTCCAACACTGCATTGCTAAATTCCTCTCCTATGATAGGCCACATTTTCTTGTAGAAACTATTTTTATAACCATCTGGACCAGGACTCTCGTTAATATCAATTTCAAACAAAGCTTCTTTGACATCAACTTTTGTAAAACTTTCAGTCAGAAGAATCTGTTGAGTGATATTCAACTTTTCCCTAGGTTAAAAGCTTCACTTGATGCTGGAACTCTATCCACTTGTGTTCCTAATAATCCTTTGAAATATTCCACAAAGTGCTCTTCAACTCTCTTCCAATCATCAACTATTACACCAGCTGCATTTGTAAACATTCTGATTTTATTTCTGATGGCGTTCTGCTTGATTGATGCATGAAAGTAGCTTGTATTCATATCCTGCCCATTGGTCCATTTATCCTTCAACTTCTGAGACCAATAACTCATTACTGCTTTACTGTTATTGATATATTCCTCAGTGACCACCTTTTCTTCTTGCTGCAATACTTCATCTAGTGGACTAGGTTGCAAATTTTCTTGTATGAGATTCAACCTGAGTTTACATTCCTGCTCCTGTTCCTCAATACATGAGAATTGTTTCCTGTTTAATTCTCTCAGACCAGGCTTTAGTAATTTTTGTCTTTGTGCTAATCAGTATAAGTATGTACCATTGATCTCCTGCTTCCATATATCCTCTACAATCTTCTTACAATCCTGATGTTGTAACCACATATGAAAGAACTTGAATGTCCTTTTCATGTACTTTGCTTCTTCTCCCCACCTTACCAACAATGCATTATGGTATGATATTTCTGTTGGCAAAATAGTAGTATATGCATTAGGGAACTTCTGTACCCAAGCTTCATTGGTTAGAGTTCTAGCCCACTTTGAAACTATTCTCCTATCCCCCATTTGTTTGTTTGACCATGTGAATCCACTACCATGGGGTAGGCAACTCCCATAGTTCATTCATTTCCATCATTTGACTGAAGTCATCCCTATCAGTATTAACTTCATTTGTTCCACCAAGTCTTTCTTATGGTTTGAGTATACAGTTGAAATCTCCAGCCATGATCCATGGACCATTAACTTGAGATCTTGGATGTTGTAACTCATTCCAAAGTTGATCCCTCCTTTGTGCATTATATGCTACATATATCAGCGTTATGGTAGTATGTTCCCGAATCCAACAGTGTATATATTGTTGTGCCACTTTCTGTACAAGTACTTGATACTCTCCATTACCGCATGCTTATAAGATTCTTCCCTTATTCATTCTTTCAGCATTTCTAATATTCTCAAATTGGTGCCACTTCTTTTCCATCATCTATTTTACTTTCTCCTCATTCATCTTTACTTCAAGGAAACCAGCTAACCCAACATTATTAACAGAGAGGCTATTTCCAACCTCTCTGTGTTTCAGGGGACTATTAAGTCCCCTTACATCCCAAGTCATGATGTTATTAATGATTATTGAACCCTGGAAGGTGACCAGAATCCTGATAACATATGGAATTCACAGACTTACTTTTCTCACATGTTCTTCCATCAGCCACTTTCCTTCCTTTTTGATTCATGATTTGAATGCCTTCGGTTTCCACTGCCTGATCCTGTGATCTATGATTTTCTTTCCCTTTTGGACTACTGCTGGTATTCTTCTCACCTTCCACCACATTTATCATCTTCTCCTTTCCTTTGTTATTAGGTTTCTGATTACTCTTCACTTCCACAATCTCCCCTTCTTTGGCCTTCCAATTCTTCACCACAGGAATTCTACACTCCTTTGTGCCATGTCCAAAACCCTTACAATTCATACATTTTATTGGCTTCCACTCATAATCCACTTTCTGTTCCTGAAGCATTCCATGTGCATCCTCAAACTAGATAACATCCTTGAGTTTCTCCTGAATTTCCACTTCCACCAGCATTCTTGCATAGGCTGTTCTTATCTTCTGAGATGTCATATCATCCATCTCAATAGGAATTCCAACCATACTTGCAGTTTACTTAGTGTAGTAGAATTCCAGTATATCAATTTCAAATTAGGCAATTGAATCCGCGCAGGAATTTGCTTGATGCTCTTCAAATTGATCTCCTCTATCACAGACCAGTCCTTCACCACCACCGGATGATGATCAAATTGATACACTGGATGTTTTAGCACTTCCTCCTTAGCAGTGATAGACTGAAATCTTACAATGAACACACCATTCTCCAGTAACAAGACCTTGTGAAGACCCAGTTTTCCCCACATACGTCTGATAAAGCCATTAATTACTGCAAACGGCGGATTCGCCCCCAAGACACAGCAGATCAACGATGGTCTCTAATAATCGATTTCCTGTTGGATTTCTTCCATAGTAATCTTCCCAATACATTGATCATTAACTATTTTTGGTTCAATGAACCGCAACTTCTTTTCATGCCCTAAAAGTTTCTTTGGATCTAATACCTTCCATACATTGGAATCGGACATGTTTAAATCCTTCTCCCAAGCAGATCCAGCCTTATCATGCACTTTTTCACCATCATCAATAGCTATGACTCATTGATTACACAGTTTCTCCAGGAATAAATTCGATTTGGACATAGTATTTAATGCAGAGCTAGGTTTTGAAGACTTACTTGAGTTGGCACAATTCGATGATTTGATGTTTGGAGAGATAATTCTTTCATCAATTTGTTGTTTCTGAGCTTCATTCGCAGCTGATCCTCTCTGTTTCTTTAACCATAGCGAACGCGAATCACGTCGGAGACGTTGGTTGGTTGAGAACACACACTGAGTGTGTTTTCGCCCCTAGTGAAAGAGAGAGAAGAGCTTTTTTTTTTTTTTCCTCTAGTATACTTATTAGTAGGTTTGCGTTTTTGTGACATAATACTGATCATGGTTCAACGGAAGCCCGATAAATTTAGCGAAAGGCCAGCGATTCTTATCAGATCTTGAAATAAATTAATTTTCAGAGGAAGCACAAATTAATGTGATAAAATAATAGAGTCCAAAACGTTTAGCTCCACAGTCCGAGGACGAGGTTTTCAGGAGCAAGAAAAGTCCTAGTAGGTCTCCTTAACTCGAACGATTACACCATGATTCACATTCTTTAGATGAACCAATACCACTACATTGTAAGGAATTATGCACGCTAGGATTTACCCCGGGCATTCTAATCTAGTAAGATGTGACCATAGATATACTAGGAGCGAAGACATACTTTAAATTTAACTCAAAGAAGTAAAGGAGGATCTTTTTGAAGTACGAAAATTTATATGTATCCTTCTATCTTATAATGATTGTCCATATTAGATTTTCACTTCTACTTACTAAAATAAAAACTCAAATTGGACAATTATTTTAAGACATAGAGAGAAACTATAAACCATTTGATACTGCAAAGTTTAGAATTGTTAAACGCAAATATAATGTACTTGAGACTTGAGAGTTGAGACTTTCAAGTTGTGTGGCAAGCGTCACCTCTTTAACGATCATATTCATGAATATCAAAATATACTTGCCATATATCCACTCAATCAATACGAAATACCAACAATACCAACTTTCCAAATTTTAGCTTTTCTACTTGAATTTGTCTTTGTGATGCGAACGGAATGATGCAGTTTCATGTCTTTGTTGCAAAAAGCGTGTTGAGATTGGACCAAGGCTTCATGGGTGTTCAACTAAATCAAATCCATCTGATTTGGTGCGATTTGAGACTATAGAGTAAGGTAATCTTCTCAAGTTGATTTGTGAGGTTCGTCCTCCTCCTCTTGCTTCAAACGAGGGCTCCACCGGAAGGCAGCCACTTCCCTTCATAAAGCATTCCTAAAGAAAAATATCTATAAATTCCAGCAAGGAATTCAGGGGAGCTATTCGGGTTTGGACCCATAATTTAAAAAGAACCACACCATAAATGAAGAATGTTAAAGCAACCGAAACCTGGAGATCTGTTTGGATTTCCATTAATATACTTCACAATGCAACCCAGAACTTTGGGCAGAAATATTAGTAGTATCTTTTTCCAAACTGAATCTACATCTTCAATCTCATCAGAACAAGGATATTTATCTGTTAATTTATTTAAGAGTCCGTATCCAATGCACCCAGGTGTACCAAATACCCCCCACCAAACACACGCGCACCACGCGCTCAGCTGTTTTTACCTTTACATTAAATGCACACAGAAAATTGTTTTCATCCATTTCATCGTCACGCATAGACACACGCAAACACACAGTCGACGGAAACTCATTTTAGGGCAAATATAAAATTGACCACCACCAAAAAATTACACAAAAATCAACGGAAAACCTATGCTGGAAGACGATTTTGATAACTTCATCTTCTCCTGCGTTTTTTTCCTTTTGTCAGTTTGTTCTTTCACAAACAAACACACACACACACACACAAACGATGGCGAGAAACCCTACGTCCGGCCATCTCAAGTTCTCCTTCATCTATACATGCTTCACTGGTAAGTATATTACTTCGAGATCCTAATTTTTTGATTATCCAGTAATATTTTGTGTGTATCCACTAGATCTGAACTAGTTATCCATGGTTTCCTGCGTATGCTATGTGATGGTTGTCCATGCCATAATTGCTGGTTATCCTTCTATTTTATACTGGTTATCCATATAGCATATCTGTTATCCACCTATTTCATTCTGGTTATCCACAAGTTGTAAACTAGTTATCCACAAGTTGTAAACTGGTTATCCATGCTTTTTTTACATTTGATTCTATGTGGCATGGACAAACTGAACTGGTTATCTATGTTTTTGTGTTTTTTTTGTTACTGGTTTAGGGTTTAGGGTTTAGGGGTGCTTGTCCAAAATTTGTTTCTGGTTATCCATCCATTTTATACTGGTTATCCGCAGGGTGTAAATTGGTTATCCATTGTTTTTTCTAGATGTGCTTTTATGTGGCTACATGTCCATACATTATTTGCTGGTTATCCACCCATTTCATACTGGTTATCCACAAGTTGTAAACTGGTTATCCACAAGTTGTAAAGTGGTTATCCATGCTTTTTTTACATTTGATTCTATGTGGCATGGACAAACTGAACTGGTTACGCACTATATATCTGAATTTGTTATCCAAGTTTTCCTGCGTGTGTGCTATGGGGTGCTTGTCCACACTTTGTTTCTGGTTATCCATCCATTTTAAATTGGTTATCCGCGGTGAGTAAACTGGTTATCCATTGTTTTTTTAGATGTGCTTTTATGTGACTACATGTCCATAAATGATTTGCTGGTTATCCACCCATTTCATACTGGTTATCCACAAGTTGTAAAATGGTTATCCACATGTTGTAAACTAATTATCCACAAGTTGTAAACTGGTTATCCACAAGTTGTAAACTGGTTATCCATGCTTCTTTTACATTTGATTCTATGTGGCGTGGACAAACTGAAATTGTTATCTACTATATATCTAAACTGGTTATCCAAGTTTTCCTGCGTGTGTCCTATGGGGTGCTTGTCCAAACTTTGTTTCTGGTTATCCACCCATTTTATACTGGTTATCCACCGGGACTAAACTGGTCATCCATCGTACTGGTCCTTTTCATATCCTGCTATTTTGTCCAATGACTTCTTAGTGATTGTCCAATGCCAACAGTGCCCTAAAGGAGGCTAGAACAAAACATAGGCATGAGTGGATCAGCACAAGCCACGACCTTAACCGCAACCCAGACAGATCACCGGATCCTGAACCAGAGAAAATAATGGAGCTCCCTGAAGGAATACTGATCATATTTAAAAAACAAAAATCAACCCAAGAAGAACAAGAAGAATAGTCCCCTGGTCAAAGTCCAAGGCCCCACAACTTGTGGAGGAAACCAAAGAGAAAGAAGAGCACGCCGATAGGAAATCCAAAGCAACTTGTGGTTGCTGATGACAATGATGATAAAAAGCCCAAAAAGAAAATAACGAAACCTGAGAACAACAAACTAATGATTGGTCAAGATCCACAGCCAATCAGTTCTGAAGATTCTATCAAGAAATTTGAGACCAGGATGACACCAAACCATCTCTTCCAACTCATCACTGAAATCAATAAACCAACAGATCTTAAGGAAGAGCCAAATGCGATAGACTATCGCCAACTACAAAGGCAGGCTATCAGAGATATGGGATTCGGCGCCTTGCTGGATCTTAAAATCAAAAATATTCCAACATTATGTAGTTTTCTGGCAAACAATTTCCAGACCGGTGCGAGACAAGTCCCATTGAATGGGAACAATGTACTGAATATCAAACAGGAAGATGTTATTGCTGTACTTGATCTTCCTCGTGGACCCAAACCAGTGGAAGAATTCAAACAGAATGATCCCGCTATAACGAACCACGCTGAGATGGTGGATGCATTCAAGAAAAGAATGGGATACAGTAATAAATTCCTGCCAACGAGATCCAGAGCGGCACAATTAATTGCTGGTCGAAAAGATTTTGGTGATGACTTCAAACGAGATTTCCTGGTCTTCATTGTGAGCACATTCCTACATGGAAACACCACATCCAGGATCACAATGAACATCCTGAAGTCCCTCAAGAACATCAATGAAGTGACACAATACAATTGGTGTCAATATGTGATTGATGCACTGGTGAAAGGATGCAAAAGTCACCACGATGGGAAACCATTCACCAGACCAATCACTTTTTTCCTGGTACTTACCATATCCGTACAAATTTTACTAGTTATCCATATTGCTTGCAATGTTTATCCAATTTGCTTGTACTGATATCATTAACACCAACTTTTTTTTTTTGTTAGTTGTGCTACCTTGACAGGTGTGAGTATGAGAGAGCACATTCGAGGTCATTCCCTGTGATCAAATCTTGGGATCAAAAGATGCTGGACGATAGATTAAGACTTGAGGGAAGCAATTTCACAGATGTCCAGACACTTGAACGTCTCAAGAAACCGTCATCAGCAGCATCCCGAGATGAACAACCAGAGGCGAAATCACATGAGGATATACAGGCCAACCCCAACACACAACAAGTCTTTGTAGTGTTCTACCATTTTTTTTCAGATCAAACTTACGTATCCAACCTAGCATCTCCGCATTCCACTAACTACATTCACTTTTGCAGGACCTTGCTGCTCTTCATGAAAAATTCTACCAATTGATTATCACGATTAACAAAACTGTTTTAGACATACGTGAGAAGGAAATGGAGTTAAAAATTGAACCAGATGAACAAGCAAAGCAAACAATCAAGATCCTAACAGATGCAATGGTGTCGATGAGTAGAAAGATGCCTCCGCCTTCAGGTAGAACGCAACAGGAACAAGAGCAGCACCAAGACCAGCAAGACCTCCAAGATGCACAAATTTGTGAATTGTGCAAGATGGCATGGAAGTCCGCTGAAAGCAGATTTGCAACAATCATAGAACAGCTACAATGACAAGTAGCTGACCAACAACAACAACAACAACACCAACAAACTGATGAAAACACTGTACAAGCTCCAATTACTCCCACAAATTTTTCAAGACATTGAAATTGACAAAGCACAGGGACAGGAGCAATTGAGCCAGACAAATGATGAAGCTTCTCTGGGGAAATCCGTGCCTACTTCAAAAGAAATGGTGGTTGATGAACAACAAACTCAACCACAAGGGGCACAGGGACTGGATCAATTGAGCCAGACAAATGATGAGGCTTCTCTTCCAGTGGGGAAATCCATGCCTACTTCAAAAGAAGTGGTGGTTGATGAACAACAAACTCAACCACAAGGTAATGAATATTTTTTTAATGAAACAAATACTTGTATGATGTGATTGTACTTGTCATCCAACTAATTTGTACTGCTTATCCAACCCCTTTTTTCCCTTTAAATGATTATCCATTGTGTTCCTGCCGATTATCCAGCCTGTTTGAACTGATTATCCACTTCGTTTGAACTGGTTATCCAATGTGTCTAATTTGTACTGCTTATCCAACCCTTTTTTCCCTTTAAATGGTTATCCATTGTGTTCCTGCCGATTATCCGGCCTATTTGAACTGATTATCCACTTCGTTTAAACTGGTTATCCAATGTGTCTAATATATATGTATCTTCGTACTGATTATCCAACATTCCAACTTTGTACTGCAGCACATGGACGAATATCTCCACAACAGAAAAGAAGAGATCCCATCAAGATTCCACCGGCCGAGATTTAGGTGTGACATCCACCTATACCAAAAGGTTGAGAAGCACTGGTACCAGGAAAAGGAAAGTATTCAAAGACCCAACTATCCCACACTTTAACATGGTATCTTCTCCAGTCAGGAAGACAGTTACGAGACAACCCAGGAGAAGAACACTGAGGATGATATCACAGGAAGTGTTGATTTGGATAAAGATGTCAATGAGACTATAGAAGCAGAAGAATATCCAGTATCATCTGCACTCGACGAAACAAAGAATCACACTCCTTCCATCGATGAAATCATAAGAAGGGCCAGTGCACCAGCTTCAGAATCATTAAGTGATACCAAAAAACTAGAGATGATTGCCGCTGCTGTAGAACAAGTTGAGAAGAACTCAAAGGTGGTTGAAGCAGTCCCTTTAAGCATAATTCCACCCGATTGGAATATTGCTTCTACCATGGGTGGTCTACTGATGCTGGAGAAAAATGAGTGTACCACGCCACCGCCTGCAATCTCAAAGAAAGCTGATGAGCTTGATGAAGAGTTAACAAAGACAGTGGAAAAGTAAGTTTGACCCACTGTGACTCCTCACTACAAATTAGAAAGACGAATTTACATACTAACTCTCTTTTGTTTTGTCCTAGGATCCTCAATGAAAAACCTAAGAGGAGAAATCCACCAAGAGTCCACCGGTTGCCCGAACGGTTCAGGTTGCCGTTCATGCTGCAGAAGATAAACAAGAAAAAATTCATACAGTGGATAGAGGAGAAGAAGAAAATGACCCAAGAAGAAGCCCTGTTGATAGACTTCGCTCTCTTGCAGAGACAAGAAGAAATAGTTAAATCAGGGTAAAAGTCACCATCCTTACCCGTGGGATAAAAAACTTACCAGTTTTCCAACTATTTGTCTATTTGACTACTTTTTCTATGCAGGAATTTCTTGTTTGAATTTGGACAAATCGTTTGGGCAGACATGGCAGCATTCTATTCCATGAGGGAAGGGACATGGATAAAAAACAGCATCATAGATGCTTGGGCTGTCATCCTAAACAAAGAAGAAGCTAAAAGTGACTCCCCAAGACGGATATTCTTTGGTGTTTCCTCATTTGTAAGTTAACTAAACCCTTATTGTTTATCCCGCCCTGGTAAAATACTTGTCACATGTCTGCAAGTTGTTTATCCAAAGGCTTTCTACTAGTTATCCATCCATAACGGGTGGTTATCCAGAATGTGTAAACTAGTTATCCAGCCACAATGGGTGGTTATCCACAACATGTAGACTAGTTATCTGGCCATAATTGCTGGTTATCCATAATGTGTAACTAGTTATCCATGCCTTTTTTTAGTTGTGCTTCTATGCGGCTGCTTGTCCATACATTATTTGCTGGTTATCCATCATTGTTGTATAACTTACCTACCTATAAGTAATCATCAGGAAGATCATGCATGACCACTAACACTTATTATCCAATTTGTTACTAATGCTTGTCCATTAGAGTTCAACTGGTTATCCAAGCCTTCTATGTGGTGGCTTGTCCATGATTCATTTGCTGGTTATCCATCTGTTCAGTACTACTTATTCAAAAGATCTGAACTGGTTAACCATTCCTTCTTGTTTGTCATCTAGGGTACTTTTGGTTGACCTTGTATGTGCTTGATTCCGATCATTGTTTTCTACTGCATTTTCCAACTATTGTACTGATCATTGTATCATTTTCCAACCACCCCAAACAATAGCGCAGGATACAATCAGTCGATACTATCAACCAGGTAGTAACAAAGAGGAAATAGAGTTCACATTCTATGAGAAGTTGGCTCTTGAACTAGAAGAACAAGGCCTCAGTGTAGCATCCCTAATAGCGGCAAAAGCTGTAAGCAACATCTTTCACCTCCTTCACTCTTTCTATAACTGGCTGTTAAAAAATTTTCATATGATTTCCCCCTTCAATGTGAAAAATCAGATCTACTTCCCAGTACACTACCGAGACCATTACTTTTTGTATGTGTTGTTGGTTGAAGAAAAGAATGTGCTTGCCCTCAACAACATTCATGCAAGAGATCTGGACTACTACAAGTCAACAAAAGATCTACTTGTGAGTGAAAAAAACATACAAAATGATTGTCATAGTTTAAGAATTATCCATTGCATTTTGCTGATCCTTGGATTTTATGGCATCACAGTTTCGGTTCTTCAAAAGCTACATTGCATGCGTGTTTTCACGCATAGAACTGGTCAGTGCTCAGTATACCTTCACAGAGGTTACGCTACCATCGCATAAGGACAAAACGCCGAATGCGGAAGATTGTGGAATATACACAATGCACCACATGGAGCGGTATGATGGTGGTGAGTACAAGGATGGTACTACAATGACAGAAAAATTCAGGGATGGGTTAAATGAACTGTCATTATATTCTTTTGTATAATTGATTGACTGTTGATCCTAAAGTGTTTGATATCCAACAGCAGTTTACTGGCCATCCTAGTATATTACCCAACCGTTTGTAATGGTTATCCAGGATCTTTGTACTAGTTATCCAACTTGTTACACCTGATTATTCGAATGTTTTATAGTGATTATCCAGTAAAAAAAATACAAGTACAGTCTTTAACTTGATTATCCATGAGTTTATACTTGTTATCCAAAACCTCAATATTGCTTATCCATATGTAACCAATGCCTATCCACCATGTGGATATAACAAAACAAGGATTCAGAGAGGGCTTCCAAAAAGACATAACAAAAGAAAATATCCATAACAAAATGGTCGGGCCCCTTACACAGTTCTTGGGCCGGTCCAATACCGGGGTGGATATGGACTCATCACAAGTGATTTCAGCGCTTGCATTTATGATGTCGAAGAAGAAGAAGACTTTGTCGCTGCATTGAATGAGATGCTGGAAAAATATGAACTTCAAAATAATGATTGGTTGAAACAATTGTTTGGAATGAAGGAGAAATGGGCATTGGTATATGGTCGTCAGATGTTTTGTGCAGATATGACTACTACGCAGAGGAGTGAGAGTACGAACAGCCTTGTCAAAAAGCATCTAAGTTATAGACATAATTTTTCATAATTTTTTTATCACTTCCAAAGGCTTATTGATGGTTGTCGATACATTGAGTTAAAGACAGATTTTAACGCTAACACCAGCACTCCAACATTGTCAACACCTGTTGAAATTTTGAAGTGTGAAACGAGCGTATACACATCTGAAATGTTTAAATGTTTTCAAGAACAATGGACTAAATGTCATGATTGTAGCTTGAATGTTAGTGGCGAAGATGGTACAGTTACAAAATATGAGGTTACTCCAGTGGGAAAAAGCTACTTTTATGTGGCCTCATGATTCGGCAGATGACAAAGTCCATTGCAGTTGTAGAAAGATAGAATTTGCTGGGATCTTATGCTCACGTGTTGAAGGTTTTTACCTCAAAAAGTGTCTTGAAAATACCCATTCAGTATATTTTGAAAAGATGGACTAGAAAAGCAAAGACAAGGTACCTCGGCAACAAAACTTTGAATGTCAATGAAAGTGATGATACTGAAGTGTCACTAGGTTTGAGGTACAAAGACTTGAGTGCATTGACCCTCTGGTCACAAGAGCAGCAGAGAGGAAGGACACTACTAATATGGTAAAGCAAGGCCTTCTCAAGCTGTTGGAGTCAATTGATGAAATTTTACTAGGTGCAGAAGTGATTGTTGAACCGGAACAAGTGACTCAAAATGAAGAGTTGGTTCAATCCAGTGATCCTGAATTAAATCACAATAGAATCAACATTGGGGAACTGGAGAAAGTTAAAGGTATTAAAGTAAGGACAAAACTTACATCAAGTAAGAGATTAAAGAGTGGTCTAGAGAAGAATTCAAGCAAAAAAAGGCCAGTTAAGAAAAACAAGACGTCTTCTAGGACAACTTCACCAACCATGCCTTCAAATAATCAGGTTTGTCTTAAGAAGTTGAACATGTGAAAAAAATGATGCTCGACATCAATAAGAGTTCTTCTTTTAATAATTTCTCTTTCCCTTTTTGGTTTTTGTTTTTGTGTTTTTTTTTTTTGCTACAACATAGCAAGTTCAACCACTTGATGTTGCCACTGATAACACGCATATGGCCTACACACATCAATATCCTGTGCTGCAATCAAGTGTTCAGGTATATTCTAGTGTTGTTATTTCTGTTCAAATCTGTAGTAATCTCTTAAACTTTCAGACTTCCAATTTAGGGCCTTCATAAGGGGACAAGTGCACATAGCTTTGCTGCCAGTCCGACCACAATGTGAATGACAGATTTACTTATGGTGATTTCCCTTTCCATTTCTCAATTCTGATGATTGCATTTGATTTTAAAACTAGTTTCTCTTGACAGATTATTTCTTGATCTGATTTCTAATATATAACAGTAGATGTCTAATCGCTAGGCACAACAATTTTATGGTTTTAACCATTTCGGCACCGGTGAGGATTTGAGAGCACAACAATCCCATAGTTTTGACAATTTTAGGATTGCGGACAATCTCGGAGTTGGTCATTGTGACGAGAAGTGTGGCTGTTCCTTTCCATGTCTGAGGCATATTTTGTACTTGTAAAATGGGAAATAACAAGGAGTGAGTTAGTTTTCGATTATTATCGAAATCAATTTTTTTTTTTTATTTATGTTGGAGAATTGAAGTTCTCATATTTTTTTTCTGGTCCTGATATACAATTTATGATACGAAAACAATGAAGACGGTATTTCAATACTTAGTTTCAATTTCTGCCCGTCATTGTGAATGAGTTATTGTGCGTAACTCCATGTCCATATGAAAGTTTGCATATGTTATAACTGAAACTAGAATTGAAGTTCTCATGGATTCTTTGAATGAGGTCCACTCTTCAGTGATACAAAAACATGGCAGTCAGAAATCCACATTACAATTCATATATATCATTGTCCTTTTTTGTGTCATTCCCGGTTGGTAAATTAATTATTTATTTTATTGTGGTCAATGAACCGCGTGGAAGAATGAATCAGGAACATTGAGCTTGAAGAAAATGATAGTGCGCGAACTTACTCAACATTGATCAAAATAAAAAGACAATTAAAAGAGTACAGCCAAAACGTTTTTTATTCTTCGAGGCAGAACAACAAAGAAAAATGAAAAACTTATGTCCGCCAAGCTAGAAAATAATGAATTGTACTCAAGATCAATAAACGCAGAACTGAAATAATCTAAGTACATAATACATATGATGGGAGATCCAAACACATGATCACCATTCTGTTTTTTGAGATCATAAGCTTAATAATTGAGCAACCCGCTACCAAATTTGTTTCTAATAAGTATCATAACAAACATATTCTTGCCGTTCCAGAATTTTGGTCAGAATCTCTAACACTTTCTTCATTCCCACTTCGGTGAGAAACGGGCATATTCATTCCGGAGTTCTCTATCACATAATGGACTGAACTAAATGTCACCGCAAGCTTATCAACGGGTTCGGTAAACTTCCATAGTTGGATTAGAGAAAGGAACAAACCACCAGTAGGAACAAAACCAGCATTAGAAACCCTTGTTAACAAACAATAATAACAAAATTAAAAGCCGGCAATAGCTACACTAGCTGGAAAATCTTGCTGATAAATCAATTGAGCTTCTAAGTACACCAATCGGATAACTCAGAATCAAGGGCAAAAGGTGTAAAGTCGAGGGTGCTTGACTTTTGGGTGAGTCAAACCCAAAATTGTGGAACAAAAAATGTGTAGGGTTTATTTTGTGGACAAATATAATGTTCTCGCGCTTTCAAAACGCGAAACAAGAAAATTAGATTAACAATTCGCGTTTGTGAAATGCGAATCATTTTAATCATGTTTTCCCAAATTCAACAGGGACGAAAGGAGAAAAAAAATTGAATTAAAAAAGGAAAACCATTTTTCACGTTTTGGAAACGCGAAAAACGTAAATAGTGTTTCAGAAACACGAGAAATTATTTTCGCGTTTTAAAAAGGCGAAAAGCTATAAATTTTAAATTTTAAATAAATTGCGGTTTGAAAATAACAACTTAGCGTTTTGAAAACGCGAAAAAAGTTTTCTAGCGTTTTGAAAGCGCGAAAAATAATTTTATCGTTTTAAAAACGCGAAAATATCCAGAAAATCTCCTCATCCACTCATTCGGCTCCACGTGTATTTTGATGATAAGTCTTGAGTATATTCGCATTTTGTAAATGCGAAATTTAAGATTTATATACCAAACCAAGCAAAATAACAGCATTTTTTCGCAAACTTTTTCCATTCTGTTGAGCTCCGATGTTTCTTCCTAAACTTATTTTATTCTGTTGAGCTCCGATTTTAAGTTTCATTCCGGAGAACTTGACTGAATCCGTGAAAGCTCTCATTTCCTTCAATTTGAGAAGTTGCTCCGAAGTTAAAGAAGATTGATTTGAGTCCTGAATCCGTGAAAGCTCTCATTTCCTTCAACATTCAGGTAAGTTTATTTTGTTATAGAAAATATGTACTTTTTTATGCCTTATTGTGAGCATAGGATGATTTACGCATTATTATTAGTTAATAAATAATTGTGATTTAGTCAATTAACGGTGATTTTTTAATTAGGTTGATAAAGTGAATTGAAAGAAATATTAGTTAATAGAATGTTAAATTAGATGAGCGTTGTAAATTATTGTATATCGATTTCTGTAAAATAAAATAAAATTATAATAATGATATTGAATTTTTGAATATTTTTAGCATAAGAATAAATTATGTAATTCGGGCATAAGGTTTAGATTTAATATTAATTTTTAGCATAGAAATGAATTTGTAAATTCAGGCGTATAGTTGTTCTTTTGAAATTGTTAAATCTGTAAATGGGGTAAATACTGTTTCCGCAAAACTAAAATTCAAAATGTATGCTAGTGTTCTAATTTCGTAGGAATTGATTTTGTAGGCCGCAAATGTCTTTCACGGAGACAGTTCGTCTGAAAGTATACTGGAATACTACTTATACAACTGAACCTGATGGGACTATCATGGTACAGCGGGATGCGCCGGATGGTTATCTTATCATTGATAGTATGTTAGATTTCTCGGAACTTGTTGATAAGGTATGTGGTGTGATGGAAGTTGATAGAGAAGGGCTGTATATTGATTTTTCTTTGGTATGGACGGAGAGGTCAGGAAAAAGGTCTTGTGTGCACATTAATGATGATAATACTGTTCGGTTCATTTATCTTTGTGCTAATAAATGGCCAGAATTGTACCCTGAAAATGTTGAGAGAACAGGCCTTGTTTCTGCAAGTACATCTGGCCAGGATATTGGTGCCAGCACTAGTGGTGGTAGAACAGTTGAAGGCAATGAAGATAGAGATGAAGATGAAGATAAAGATAAAGATGAAGATGCAGATGAAGATGAAGATGGCGGGGGTGTCGAAAGCAGTGATGATGAGTACGTCCCATCGGATGAGGACTCAGATGACGACACTGATTTTGAGTCATCTTCTTCAGTCCCATATGTTTTCAACGACATAAGTGGATGGGACAAGACTTTAGAGGAAGTAGATTGTGATGGGATTAAAATGTGGGATGGCAATCCGTTGACGCTAGGCCTTGATATACATTTCGACAGCAAGCCTGAGGCACAAGCGGCAGTGGGAGAATAGAACTTGGTACATGGTCGGACTTTCCGGGTGAAAACGAGCTCTAAACGAACATGGTATGTCGAATGCGAGACCTGTGGACCCAAATATCCGAAAGAGCGTCTTCACGGCTATGATTGCCTGTGGAAGGCGCGAGTTTCGCTACAGAAGGCCACCGATACTTGGAAAATGGTGGTATGGTCCGATTCCCACAACTGTCTTGGGGCAAACAAGAGAAACGAGTCCCGAAACGTCGCGTCTTCTATGATTGCTAGACTGGTTGCCCAAAATGTGCGAAAATATCCAGATTTTGCAGTTGCCCAAGTTCAAATAGAAGTTTTGAAGAGGCACCAAGTCGAATGTAGTTACAAGAAGGCATGGCATGGTAGAAGAAAAGCACTTGAGGCTCTGTATGGTACATGGGAAAGTAATTTTCAAGAACTGCCCAGCTTCCTCGATGCATTGTTCATGTCAAACCCGGACACTTGTGTGCAATTCAAGTTTAAGGAAAATTCAGGAAGCTCGCAAAGGTTTGTATGTAGATATGTTTTCTGGGCATTTGGGCCATCTATACAGTTATTTCATGCTTGCTGGCCAGTAATAACCATCGATGCCACTCACCTGCGAGGATCCTACAAAGGAAAACTAATTGTGGTATGCGTAAAGTGCGCAAATGGCACGATTGTTCCCATCGCATTTGCTCTTGTGGACGAAGAGACTATACACAACTGGAAATGGTTTTTGAAGTATTTGAAAAAGTTTGTTCTACAGGATAGGAAGACCTGTATTATCTCTGATCGAAATCAGGGTATCCTTACTGCCATGGACATAATGTTGCAAAAATTCCCAGAGATGGGAGTCCACCGGTATTGTCTAGAGCATGTTAAAGCAAACTTGGTTGGGCATTTTTGAAAGGAGAAACTTGGAGGCAACTGTCAAATGATTGGTTCAGCGACGCAAAAGACAAGGTATTTGGTTCAGGGTATCCTTACGCAAAAAAATGAGCCTGCTGCTCGTTGGCTTAGAAGCTGGGTGTTGAGAAATGGACCTGTTTACACGATGGAGGGCATCATTAGGGAGAAATGACCACTAACATTTCAGAGAGTTTCAATAATGTGCTGAAAGGTGCTAGATTCTTCCCGATCACAGCTTTGATCCTAACATCCTTTCAGAAAAGCAACAATCTATTTCAGGCAAACATTGATATGATCCAAAAATGTCAGAATGTTCTACCTCCTAAGCCAATGAAACTGTATGAAGAGGCCCAGAAGAAATCATTGAGGCAAAAGGTCAACCGGTTTAGCAAGAGAAACCAGAAGTACGAAGTAGTTACAATAGCACCTGATAATCAACCATGGAAGGCTGAGGAGAAGCAAGTTGTGCTCTAGGCAAATCGAGAGTGCACTTGCGGAAGGTGGCAGACTTTCAGATTTCCTTGTTCCCATGCACTTCGAGTTGCCCGCAAGCTAGGTTCCCACTTTTTGATCCATGTTACACTACGCAGCAATGGTACCAGCAGTTTTTTGGAGAATTCAACCCAATCATGGAACCATGGCCAAAGGCAACATGGCAGATCAGGCCAGATGACACTAAACTTGTCCACCATGCTGGTTGGGGTCGGAAGCGTGTGAATTGGAAAAAAGGTGTGATGGATTATACAAGCAAATCTGGCCAGCGAAGACTCCAAACTTGCAGTTTATGTAAGCTACAGGGCCATAATGCCAGGGCTTGCCCATATGCGAGAGTTTGCGCACGATGTGGAAGTTTAGATCATGATGCACTGGAATGCCCTTTTTCTCATCCACCTGCTGACAGGACCGCTATTGATAAACTGTACGATCCATATGGAATTTGTGGTGTGCCTAATATCAATTCTGATGATGCGTAGTGATGATTTTCCACATCGTGCATTGTGATGATTCTGTTAGTGTTCGTATTTTTGTGTTGTTTTGAACATTCATGTAGTAAACCTCAGAGGATGAATCAGTTTGCATTTGTATTTGTGTTAGTGTGTTGGTTTGGATGTTTCTGTAATTTATATTAGTAATATTTTTGTAAAAAAAACGTCGCAGATCGTTTTAGTAATATTACTAATTATTACTATAGTGGTGGAGTGATAGGATGTACATGTCGAATAAAGCACTAATTATTTGATAAACACTAAAGGATCATTCACTTTAGGGTAAGAAAAGTAGTTATTTGTTTATTCATTTTATGATAAACACAGTTGGCTTAGTTATCATAAACGATAAATTAGTTGTGTAAATAACGTTTTTATTTTTCAGTTTTAAACTAAAATCACGTTTCTGAAACGTGAAAAAAGAGAGAGCATTTTGTGGTTTTCGCGTTTCTAAAACACAATTATTGGGATATAGCTAGTTTCGCGTTTCTGAAACGCGAAACTGTGTGGTTAAATAAAGTTTTCACGTTTCGGGTTGATGTTTCTCAAACAGAAAAATATATCCGGCGTACTCCATTGAAACCGGCGGTTTTTCCAGGATCGTTGCCGGAATCGAGTTTCGGCATCAATTTTTTTCATTTTGTGGGCTATATATCGAGGTAAGTTGTGTTTTTTGCTCTCATTGAATCGTTTTTTTTTAATTCATGCTTTAATTTCTGATTCCTATAAATTTTGTGTTCGTTTTATTTTTAATTTTATTTCTCGATTTAATACTCCGTTAATAGATCTAGTATTATAGGTGTTGTAATTGTGGATTGTTTAAAAAAATTCGGGATTGGGTTGGGTGAAAAAATTTTGTGTTCCTTTTATTTTTAATTTTATTTCACTCGGGAGTACAGTTGGGGTAGTGCGGCACTATGTTACTTGTACCGCAGCATGTCCAAGTCATCTCTGGCCGCTTCTGCCAAGGCTATTACCGGCTGTGTGATTCTTCTTCAGGTATTTTATCTTTTCATTTATCTCTAGTTTCATTTTATATTCTCCCATAATTATTGGTGATTTTAGCTAATGATTTCTTCATTCTGAATTAGCTCTGGGCCTGGGAGCGGATTTTGACGGTTCAGCCCAAGATACTGGGTGGGGAGCTCGATCTATCTCATTGTCCATTGGGTACGAGGTAATCTTATACATCAAACCTTCGTAAATTTTGACATTGTGATTTGTACTGTCATGTCTCAATTTAATGTTACTTTCTCTGTGCAGGTGGTCCCGTGAGAAAAAAGTTCAAGGTATCACGCGGTTCAATTTGGCTGCGTACCTGGATCAGCTTGCAGTTCTCGCAGAGTCTGATGTTAGTATTCTATTCAATTAGTATAACTTATTTTTTATTCATTTTTTTTACGGTGCCGGACTTTTAATTACGTGTCTCTTACTTAATTACCATTGCACTTTGTATGGATGCCGTACACGACTCTTCTGAGTCGTATTGCCAGGGTTTGTCTTGTGGGACAGGGCATATGGCGATCTCAGACATGGCTCATCTGCGGTGATGTCGTTGCGCCACACAACCCCAGTAGAGTATTTCGCCAATTTGGTTATCACCAGCGGATACCCGGCGACGCATTACTTCTCACTGCGGCGGAAATTACTAGCCTGCTCAAGAGGAAGCCGTTTGGAAGATCCGATAGGAGATGGATACAACAACTAGGGATATATCTCCAGGTTTGGAATGATCGCCACGGCCGACTTGTGGGGACAGATGATGATTATGTTGGCGAGCCTTCCGCAGATCCGGAGTATCTCTTGTGGTACCATCAGGTTACTATGAAGTATGTTACGGATCCGACGGACTCTGAAAATGCGAGGGGTTTTCACGGCTCTGCAGAGACCTTCCGCCTCATGGTGAGTATTTCGCCTACAGTCCATTTGGTTCTTTTTATTAACACTGTTGTCGATTTATGATCCTTTCTAATAATAATTTCAGGCCACATTGATGGAGGACGTTCGTAGTCTGAGTATTATAGGCCAGCGTACTTTCGACACGGACTCCTTTGGTTATGATCGCTTAGGCGAGATTGCCCAGGTTGCTGAGTGGGTGTTGTCCATCAATGCAACGAATGTTGTACGTCACGAGCGATAGGCATGTTGAGGTTAATGACATTTTGAGTCAAGAACTTGCACCTGTAGACCCGACCCAGCAGCATCCACCACCCAGACCTCCGAGGCGTTCGCGCAGGTCTCAGCGTGGGCGTGGGGGGCAAGAGACAATCACATCCACTCAGCCACATCAGTCCTCCCAGCATCAGCAGTCTCATATTCCCTTCATTGGCGGTTCATCCCATCAGTCTCCACATCAGTCTCCACTCCATTCTCGACAGCATTCATCCCATCAGTCTCCACATCATTCTCCACATTATTCATCCCATCAGTCTCCACATCATTCTTCGCCGACCCAACAGGCGTTTTACCGTCCGATTATGTCTCCCCAGCACCAGCAGTCCCATTTTGCCTTCACTCAATTTTCCTCCCCTCAGGCTTCTCAGCGTCAGTTTGGAGATTCTTTTATTGACTTTTCTGGGTTTCAGCAGAGTTCGCTAGATGCCCAGTCGATACATTACACGAGTAACTTTCTTTCGAGTATGTTTGAGGGTGTTGCGGGTCAGCATCAGGCTGATGACCCAGCTGGAGGTGAGCGTGAGAGTCAGGGTGAAGATGAGGCTGAGGATGAGGCTGAGGATGCAGACCAGGATGATCAGTTTGAGGGTCAGGGTTATCAGCGCCATGAGGAGCAGGGATCGAGTCAGACTCTAGGGACTCCACCGTTGGCTGTGAGTAAAGGCCAGAGAGTGATGAAGGAGCCCGATAGATTGACTTATAGCCTTTTTCGGGCTAAAAAGCCCAAGAAGAAGTAGGGTACTAGACTTTTTATGTAGTATTATTAGACTTGTATTTTTTTTTTTCCTTTTGTTCATTTATGTTCTTTTTCCTTTTGTTATGACTTGTTTTATTTTTTTTACCTTTTGTTTATGACTTGTAGTATTTTGTTATGACTTGTATTAATATTCTTAATAGTTTGATTTCACCTGCATCGTAAATACAATAATTAATATTTATAAAACACATCTTCGCCGATCAAATCGAAACACATCTTCAAACTTTCTTATTATATTTTTTTCATAATTAATAGTTGCTTCATCTTTTTTTTTTTTTTTTTTAGAAAAAAACAAACATCAAAGTATTTAGTTTATCCAAACAAAAGATGTAATTCTTAGTTCTTACATACCAACCGTCAATTAAAATTACCACATCCACAAAAGAATAGTACCAGATACCTAAAACAAACATTCAGTAAACTAAAGTTCTCTTCAAAATTAATATGCGGTGCATTAAACAATCGCATTGACAGCACTTGCAATCCGAGGCCAAAGATCATCACACTCCTTTCCAATGGGACCATTGATTGCAGAACCTTTCATTTTCCCCTTGGGATTAACAATCACTCCAGCATTATTTTCAACGTACATGTAGACACCGTTCTTTCGGCGCCATGGCTTGCGCTAGCGGACAATGACTGCGGGCATGACCTTCTTTCTGACTGAGATCGGGCTTAACCTTCTTGACGGTGCCCATAACCATGTCATCGATGCAATCAGAAGGGAGACGGTTGAGCCTACCTTTCATTCCCTTCACTGAAATGATGTAAAGGTTCTTTACCCCGGTGTTGTCGGTGCAATTCACCGTCGCAGCCACTGGAAGACCCAGAGACATCTTAAACTTGTTACCCGCTGATCCTCCGCGTCCTCGCTTCGACATTTTTGTTGTCTCCCCTGTGAGGTTTCCGAAGAAGAGACAATAATTGCTTCATCTTAAGCGTTGGTAAATTATAATAAATATTTATTAAATTTATTCCTATTTTAAGCTTTTTTCTTATATTGAAACCGTCATAATTAATAAAAATAATTTGTAAATTAAATTACATTTAATTAAATCCATAAAATTACGTCATTATCATTATTGAAATTTTTTCATATAAAATTATTTTATAAAATAATGATTACATTTTTAATAAAAATTTTTAATATAATAATTATTAAATTTTTTTCAAAAAATGTTCTAAAAATTTAATACATTATAATAAGTATATCATACTTTTAATAATTTATATTTAGTATAGCTCTATTTAATTTAATGAGTATCAATTATAATATTATATTCTTATTCAAAATTTAATTTTCATATTATTAAAATTATCAATATAATTTTCCTCTTTATAGCTCTATTCAAAATTTAATGATTAACAATTATAATTTTAAAATTTTCTGTTACCATTATTCAAATTTAATAATTTTTTGAAGTCAATTTCCCCATAACGTTTTAAACTAGTCAAATTAATCATACTTTTATGACTATTTTCTTTTTTATTTAAATTAAATATTTTTTAAATTTTTTTCGCGCTTTGAAAACGCGAATTGATATTTATTCAATTCTTTTACCATTAATTAATTAGGATTAAGTTAAATTAATTACGTTTTCTTATTTTTCGCGTTTCTAAAACGCGAAAAATCAATTTTAGCATTTTCAAAACGCGAAATTTGCTTTTTAGCGTTTTCAAAACGCAAATTTTATTTTTTTCGCATGTTTGAAGCGCAATAAAGCTATTTTTGACTACAATTTAAACCCTAAATTTATTTTGTTATTCATAATTTTTTTCAGATATTAATAAGTAAATTCGCCTAAAGTCGAAAGAAAGTTTACCGTAAACGAAGCCAGAACCGCAACACCGGCACCAAAATGAAACCGATACCAAATGGAAGTAAATTTCGAAAGGGGAAAAAAAACATCAAATTTGGGCGCCGTAACTTCGTTAGCATTTGGTATCAAATTTGAAAAAACATCAAAGGTTATTTTGCTGCGCTTGTAACTTCATTTGATAAAACGACATTAGAGTGGAGTGGGATTTAATTCTTAGTGTTCCTTTTTTTTTTGTTCTTTTTTTTTTCTTTTCAATCACAACTCCGTACGTGATATTTAATCTTTTCAATAAATACGAAAATTATTTAGAATTATAGAGTTAATTAATGCTAAGAATAGGCTCTTTATGCAATAGATTACTCTGTAGGTTTTTACTCTATCCATTTACATAACCACTTCCCATTTTAGAAGTACTATGAAGTTGAGGTAATAAATTTGAGATTAAATCTTCTATTTCTTTTCATTGTTAAGGGATAAGAAAATGAGTGGAGGTGTCCTGTGACGCAAACTCTGTACCACTTCTAATACATTTATGTGCTATGACAATTTATGCAAAATTCTGTATTGCGCAATGCTTTTTGGGGAATTTTGAAAGTTTGGGTTTTTTGTTTAAGGCTTTTTCTAGTTCAGGGCTGAACAGAGAGCAACGAACGGTGACGGCGGCGGCGAGGGTGATGGAGCTGACAGCCCAAAATAACAGCGTCCCTCCGATGGGTATGAATTCCAATAGAGGACGTATTATTGCGAATGTCTCCACCATCCGTTGGGGCACATGAATTCCATTAGATTCCTTCTTATCATGTTTCCTGGATTGTTCAAGTAATAGAAGAGGGGAGCAACAACCACAGTACAATAGTCAAGCATGAACTGTTGAGAAACTTCAAGAATTCCTTGCATAAATTTTTTTCCGTTTGGAGCTCTTGTCATCCCAATCACTAGCACTGCTGGTTGTGTAACCCAATAAGGAATAACACATACATTTCCAATTTCTCAAAAATTCTTATCACTGTGTTATCTGGATTTTGGCATTAGTTGTCATCACCAGTGCTTCTCGCTTGCAAGTTGTTTCTTGTGAAGAATTTGAGAAAACTAGATCAGAGAGCAGAGCAAGGAATTTTTGTAGTTTTTTCTTCTTTCTTTTTTCATGGTTCCAAACAATTTATTTTTTATATTTGAAGTATAATTGACTGAAAATAAAAAAAAAAGGCATTTGTTAATTTCAGATAAGGCTCCGTTCGATAAGCACTGAAATCTGAATCTGAACGCTTAACACTTAACACTGAAGTCTGAAGTCTGATGACTGAATTTACATTTTTTGATAAAAACATCTGAATTCGATGTCAAAAGACTGAAGTCTGAAGTCTGAAGACTGAATCTAAATACTCAGGTCTGATAGTTATTTAAATTTTTAATATCATATAAAATTGAATTATAAACAAAATTCTTTTAAATAGAAAAATAACTAAAATTTTGTTCTAAATAATAAAATAATAATTTTAAAATAAATTTTTGGTGTATATAATGAAAGTAGATATTACACTTGCTAAATAACAAGATATATATATATATATATATATATATCTTGTTATTTAGAAAATTTTATGTATTAAAATTAGTTTAATTTCAGTTTGAAAGTTTGAGATTTTTTATGCTCATAATATAAATTCAAATTTAAGCATTCTTAATAAATTTATCTTAAGAAAATAAAAATTTTAAAACAATGTAAAAATAAGCGTTGAAATAAAGACGAGTGGAAAAGGGAAAAAAAATCAATCAATACAGAGAGTAAGTGTTAAGTAATAAGGGATAAGTGGTAGGCCTATCACTTATTTTTTTGGCTCTCAATTGAACTGACCATTCAGATGCACTTAATTAATTCAAATAGTGAAATTTTAGTTATCAAACGTACTTAATTAATAAGTACTTAATTAGTTCAGAACTTAATTCATTAAGACTTTTTAGTAGCGATTATCAAACACACTTAATTTTATTAAGTACTTAAAAATTAAGTCACTATATTAAGTGATTATCAAACAGAGCCTAAGTGTCACAAGGAGTGGCACAAAGTTTGTGTCAAGGACACCTCCACAGGAATAGATGATGATGATCGTGAGCGATGAGATGGAATCGGAAACAAAACTTTTAAGGGTGCTGACGAACCCTGGATTTGTACAGTGCCTTAGGACATGCAGCAATGATGATCTCGGTGTCAGCGGACGACCTAAAACCTGCAAGATAGAGCCTCAGGTGTCTCCCGAGGGTAGACTCTCTAATACTTAAGTCAATAATAGAATAGTGAGAATAGAGAGAGAAGTATATATATCGTGTGTAGAATGTGTAGAAGATATGTATTATGAGAGAGGAACCACCTCTTTATATAGAAGTGGTGTTACCTGTTTCCTGAAACCCAAGCGTAATAGGTTTAGGCGGTGGCTTAATGTCCAAGTAACCTAATCCTAGGCCCAATAAGCCTAGAGTTCAGTTTGGACTCGTTAAATGCCCCTAGCAAGGCAAAATCTCAAGGTTCAGTCAGAAGGATATGGATTGCTACGAGTGTTGATGTCTTCTCGAGTTTCATGGTGTTGCCCCAGTTCTCGAACTCTTTCGTTCTCGAGTGTCACCTATATAAGATAAAGAGAATGAAGTGTCTCGAGGAGGTCTTTGTATTAGTGCATTCCTGATTAGGAGAGGGAAACCTGTGTATGCCGAATTAGGAGGATGGCGCCTGGATGCCGAATTGAGAGGATGGTGCTTAGATTTCCTTATTTGAAGGGAGGAACCCTATATGTTTGGATGTTTAAGATGCGATATATAATGTAATAATGTAATGACATATAGTAATAAGATGATTATGAGTAATATCAGTTCAAGCAGAGGATATTAGGATGATCCCTCAAATTCCTTGCCCCAAAGGTATGTCCCTGTTTGTGCCCCCGAGTCTGTTTTCCTCGTTGAAGCGTGATAGGGTTTTACCGCGAGAGGGTTGATAACTTGAAGAACTCCTTTGATCGTGTTCAAAAAAATATCGTGATATGATAGTAGTAATATGCTAATGATATCAGCAGTAGATTGATTTAGATTCGAGAAATCTATTAAAAAAAGTTTGAGAAGTACCTCAATCTCGAGATAAATTAATTATTCGAGAACGTGTTACATCGATTCCAACAAGGTAGTATTTGAATAGATGAAAGTTGATATATGTCTTTTCGAACACTTCGAGTAGTAATAAGGTGCTCGAGGGATAGTTACTCCTTCGAGGAGATGAATCTATCGAGACTCCAATATTCGAAATTGCCCCTTGCTTTGAAGGGCTTGAGAGCTTATCTGTAAAATTATAAAAGTATTAGGGTTAATAAACCATAAGATAAAAAGTATAGGGGTTGAATTTTAAATTTTCTAAAATTACTGAAATTATTCTTGGTTGATTCTCATGCCCCTTGTCGGCCTGTTGCTCGGTTTGTTTAGGTTGGCATGGAAGTCGACAGCGTCTTCGTTGGCTGGAACAACTCGACAAACACGTTGACAGAACTGTCGTGGAACGGATCGTCGATCGAAAGAAATCGACACGGAAGTCGACGGTTGTCAGCAATGGAATTTTCAAATTCTTGATTTTGGCTTTCGCGTACATGGATTTACACATCAAATCAACCCGATGATCATCGTATAGCACCAATAAATTTCAGCTTCGTTTCAAGAATTTATTTGGTTGTAAGGACCAAACAAATCGGTCCCACCGGGTGTGCCATTTGACGAAACTTAGATTTGTACGGTCCTTTAGGACGGGCAACAATGATGATCTAGGTGGCGGCGGATAGCCTAAAACCTGCAAGACAGAGCCTCGGGTGTCTCCTGAGGGTAGACTCTCCGATACTTAAGTCAATAATAGAATAGAGAGAATAGAGAGAGAGGTATGTGTATCATGTGTAGAAGATATGTATTATAAGAGAGGAAACACCTCTTTATATAGAGGTGATGTTACCTGTTTTTTGAAACCCTAGCGAAATAGGTTTAAGCGGTGACTTAATCTCCAAGTAACTTAATCCTAGGTCCAATAGAACTAGGGTTCAGTTTGAACTTGTCAAGTGCCTCAATTGCTTTCTCATCAAACGTGGCCGTTATCAATTGTTCAATTTTTCTTGACGTTAACAATAGTATTTTCCGAGACCACAACGTCCACACTGTCCAAAAAAACAACAGGATTTTTATAATTTAAAATTGAGAGGTTTTTTTCTTTGAGTGTTTGGTGAATAAGTCAGTGTCAATGTAAAAATCACTTCTGTGTATTTTTGTTATTGATTTCTTTACCTCGAGTTTTGCGTCGGCTTAGCAAGATTGTTAATGAAGTCGACGAATATTAAAATCCATTCTTTTGAATAGTTTTTATACATTTTTTTTAATCATTATTTGATAATTAATAAATTCATGTTTCAAAGTTAATTTTCGAAAATTTTTACTAGTTAGCATAAATGTTTTAATTTTTATAAGAAAAATATTTCCTCAAATAGTTTTGTATTAAAGATGATGAGTAAAAGATATATATAGCACTATGATTTAGTCACGTAAACATTAAAACTAACTTACTACTAATAAACAAATAATAAATAAATAAAAGAACGGTAAAGCTGTCAAGTGAAATGGGATTATGACACACTCCTTCCGCCTCCTGTCCTTAATATAAGACATTTTAATTTATCCTAAATTTTACCTAGTAAGAATTTCTAATTGACAAAATATATTATTCAAATTAATTTTCATTCAATTCCTACTTTAAATCCTACTTTCCTTTTGGAAGATAAAATTATCCTGAAAAAAACTTAATCATTACTGCATACATGGACACATTCCAAGGTTTGAACATGAAACTAGTACTTAACATTTAAACTTAGTCAATATCAATCACACATGTAGAAAACCTGGGGATCACCATATCTTTACATTATCCATAAACTTCTCCTATAGTCCTATACTATGTAACAATTTGTTGGTGAAACCTAAGATTAGAAGTGGCCATATGTGTGATGATAACCTTTATTTCAATCAATTCCTTCCCATCAAATGATAGTTTATCTAGTTGACTTTATTAACCTCTGATCAGCTGGGAATTGAATAACAGTCTATTGGTTAGGACGTTTTGCTTCTTGGTATTAGACCTGGGTTCAATTCTTACCAAGGGGGGTTTTACCCACATTTAAATAGGGTCCACTGGGACTGATAAAAAAAAAAACTGATCAGCTAGCCACAAAAACTAAATCTCAAAAATATTTTTTTATAAAAACTGAAAAGAAGGAGAAAAAAAATCCAGAATGCAAAACGTCAAAGGGGAATATCATGAAGGCGTCCTCTGAATTCGGTTCCTCCATTATAAAAGAAATTAAAACAATCCAAATAATGTCCCCCAATCCATACGAATCTTTTTCCAAAGTTTTCCTATATTATTTAATCGATAACTCTCGACATAAACTACGTAATTGTTCAAACTGAAGTGGAGATTAGAAAGCCTAACTGGCGTTGATTTTTGTACAAATTAGAATTAGACAAAATATCGGATCATAGTCAGAAACTCCAATTCGCCCCTTAATGTTGTTTTCTTTGATATTGGACACCAATATCGTGTCCTTTACCTGAGAAGGCGCCAATTAGTTTTTGCTTTATGATGCTTTGTTTGCTTAGCTCTTCTCTTGGGAATTTTCGTCCACCAAAATTGCAAAAAGGTGATTTTAAGGACAATTTTTTGGATTTAACATTGAGTCAAGTTTGTCTAGTAGCTGTTCGTGGAGAAAAGATTTTGGCATGGGCAGAGATGACGGACTCTACGATGGCATCAAACCGTTTACCAGTTTCTTTTTTTAACTTGTAAAAAAGATTCTGTCAAAATACAAGAATCTTAAAAAAAAAAACAAAAATTGACTATCTAAAGGCAGTTTGAGGGGTAAAAAAAAGAAAACGCTAATAAAAGGGACAGAAAGTGAGCTGCCTCGTAACCTTGTTATTAACCAAATCATCCATAAAAACTACTCCATTAAACTATTGATCATTACATGCAAGCAAGGATGGTTGCCATAATAAAGATACAAAGAGAGCAATGAAAAATCTTGAACACACATGTAATACATGTATACATGAGTAATGATTCTATAGGAGCAAGAGAAACTTCGACTAAGTTGTGTTCCAATCCTGTTACTTTATTCTTTCAAATATAGTAATTATATTACTACCCTCTACATACTAATAAAATAAATTATATATATCAAGATCCGTTCAAATTAAATGGGATTAGTTTGAGTGTGATATATTACTGCATCTAATTACGTCCGCACAAAAAAGCTGTGCATGTAACCATCTTAGCTATATCAATACTATAGTAACAGGTTCAAGGGTCAAAATGTCCCCCGTCCCATCAATGTTATGCGGCAATCTGTATTCGAACTATACAAAAGCAAACAAAGCAGCCCTTTGGGATATCACGTAAATTATAAAAGCATTTGAATGTGTACCTGGATCTTGAAATTGGATTACTAGCTCTAGTCTGGCTCTTTTCATTAGCACTCAACAGCAAATTACATTAACTGTGCCCAAAAACAGACACTCAAAACTCACCGAAAACATCGATCAATTTTGTCGCAAATGTTGTGATATGGTTATCCACCCAAAAGACAAAATCAAAGAAAACAAGAAGGAATTATCACTTTATATAGCTGAATTTGCATGCTCGTTTTAACAGCAAAAGCTTTCTTCAAGCTAGTTCATTATTGTTCGGTCTTTCACTTTGTTAGACTTTGTATTCCTAGAGTGATAATTTAATTTGATGGAGTTGGGCATTGTGAAAACTGAGGGAATCCCACGGTCCAGGAGCTTTTCTTTGATGGAAAATGGCGGCGTTACCGAGGCTAGATGCGTAAAAAGGCGTCGCAGATCACCCGGGGTGACGCTCGATGATAAGAGAGTTGGAGGAGGACATGATCAGCAGCAGCCTACAGTTCAAGTTGATCAAAATAGTGCAACTCCGAGTGTAACACCTACTACTACTACTACAGTCAAGAGAAGCTCTAGATTTCGAGGAGTTAGCCGGTATGTTTGTCATTGTTTTTCCTCATTATTCTACGATTTCAAATCTATACAAACAACCACGAGGCGCGGCGTAATGATAAGATAATTTAGCACTAAGAAGGAAAATGTCGCACCCACTATTGATCCCTTTATTTAGGAAACAAAAGTTATTTGATTGTTGGATCGAAAAATTGGATTTACTGAGAGTTTTGATCACTCGGGTGATGATGATCAGGCATAGGTGGACAGGAAGGTTTGAGGCTCATTTATGGGACAAAGCATCATGGAATGCTACACAGAAGAAGAAGGGAAAACAAGGTACATATATTGGCGTATTCTAAGCATTACAATATATACTTAATTTTATTTTATTTTTTTTGGGGTAAATAATATGTTCTTACTTTATTAAGCTTACTGATGTTGGATTCTTGGCATGATGGGATGTGGTCTGCATTTGGTTACAATTTATTGGCTGGAATCAGTTTATCTAGGTGAGTAGCTTAGTTGAAGATTTTATTCATTAGCATTTTGTTTCATAAAAGGATGATAAAAACTGAAAGAAAGAATTGGTGCGCTGAAAATTTTTTAGGGGCATATGATGAAGAAGAAGCTGCAGCAAGAGCATATGATTTGGCTGCAATCAAGTATTGGGGAAACACAACTTTTACCAATTTTCCAGTAATACACTTTTCCATCAACTGGATTTCTTTCTCAGCTTTATACAGTATAAACATCAATCTCTACTTATATAATTAATGTAGTTTGTCTTCTTAATCACAGATAAGTGAGTATGCACAAGAGATTGAAATAATGCAAAACCTGACAAAGGAGGAGTATTTGGCCTCTTTAAGAAGGTACTACCATCTTGCTTTACATTCTGAAATGATTGACAAGTAAATTAAATTGATTATAGCTTTGTTAACTTCTTATTTGAATACAGAAGAAGCAGTGGCTTTGCAAGAGGAGTGTCAAAATATAGAGGGGTGGCACGGTAACCTAACACTCACAAAACTTCTTAAGACAGTATAATTATTATAGATTGCACATGTCGAGTTTGAACTCAGAATCTCCTGATTACAGTTCTTATCGCTTCGTTCCTGTAGACATCTTCTATCAATCGCATAGATGAAATGACGTTTTGATATTTGATTTTAACTTCAGACATCATCATAATGGTAGATGGGAAGCAAGAATAGGCCGAGTTTTCGGAAACAAGTATCTTTATCTTGGTACTTATGGTAAAATTTCAATCCTCAATTTTGATCAGAAAAGAAAGTAAATGAATAATAAATATATGGAGGGCTTATTTAATTTCCTCCAAAGAATCAGCTGTGAGATCTTTTAAATTGACTGTTGACAGCATTCTCTATATATTCTGCAGGTACTCAAGAAGAGGCAGCCAGAGCATATGATATTGCAGCAATTGAATATAGAGGAATCAATGCAGTAACTAACTTTGATTTGAGCACTTACATAAAATGGCTAAAACCTGGAAACTCTAGCTCAACACCTCAACCTGTTGAAACCACCCCGAATCTCTTTGACCTCGGCGAAAAACAGCTGCTTCATCATGATTACTTCTCCTTGAAGCCTGATTCATTCAGCAGCACTGGCACATTATCAATGTCCATTCCTCAAAAACAAGAAGTTATTGAAACTAAATTGCCACTCAGCCCAATGAACAGGTCATCATCCCCTACGGCGCTTAGCCTTCTGCTAAGATCATCTATGTTTAGAGAAATGGTTGAGAAGAGCTCCAATGCTGATAGTCATCATGATCATGAAAATGATGGGAATCATCATGACTTGATCATCAAGAGGAGTCAATCATCACCAGTACTACAGAATGGAGAGGAATTAGGCGACGATTTTTCATTTTTCCAAGGTAGCGGCGCCATGAGTTTCCCTTACTTTTTCCCTTACAACGTTGGGGATGAACTGTCAGGAGTAGTATCAGAGAAGAAGAGTGTATCTCCAGTTAGGGCATCGCCATTGAGTGATCGAATGGAGCAATCATCCTGGAATGATGTCCTGAATATTGCATCACCTTCCTCAGTTCATCAAAGAGAGATTTAGAGATGAGAAATTTTGGAGATGCTAAACTTAGTTGTAGAAAATGATCATGGCTGGTATTTAGTTTGCTCCATGTAACTAGTAATGATGTCTAGGGCCAAGGAAAGAAGAGACCCTTTTTCCTTAAGAATAAAAGTTGATACAATTCAAGATTTCTTGACTTACAGAAAGGAAATTTCTAAGATGTAAGAGAATGTGTTATTTTTCTTGATGTGAACTTAGAACCAGTTAGGATTTACAATTGATGTAACTTTCGTCGAGCCTAATGTTATTGATGCATAGTCTGCAATTACATTTCTCTATTTTCCATTTTAACTAGTATCTTTTTCCTATTTTCTTTTAAATTATGTTCATAGATATGGCGTTAAAAAATCTCAATTATTATTTATTCTTTCATTATTCAACAATAATTGATTCACTTATTTGGAATCATTAAGCTTAAAATTAACCAATGCATGTCCAAGCGCAAATTATATGGGGCACCCGGAAATTTGAGCGCACCGGGTGCCCATATAATTTGCGCTCATAAATGACAACTACATATTACCTCTTCGTCCCATTTTAAAATGATTCAACATTTTGTTTACGATAAAATAGACTAGTAAAGTGGGTGGATGAAAAAATGGGTAAATCACACAATGTTGTGGGGATTCTGAGAGCAGAGCCCAATTCAGATTTTTAAGTCCGACCATCTTCATCTCCGTCCCCTTAAATCTGAAAATTTAAGTCCTTTTCAACCAATATATATATATATATATATATATATATATATATATATTTAAGTCCTTAGATCTGACTCAGTAGGTTCTGTAAGTTGGTGATGTGGTTCTCTTTCGGTGAAAGGTATATATTTTTTCTTGGTGACGGCGGTAGGCCATTTGTTTCTGGTCCCGAACAGGACCATCTATCCCAAGAGGAAGAGAGAAAGGAGAAGAAAAATAAAAGTGATCACCACTTTTCCCAGACAGAGGGCATAAGAATGATTCATGCTCTTCGGAATTAAGCAATAGAACTAGTTTGAGGTCAACATGATAATGTTAAATTCCAAATTTCTATAGACATTAGAATGTTTCTCCTCGTGGGTACTTTTCACTAATTCAACATTGAAGAAATGCAGCTTTCCTAGTCCAGTACTCCTGTTTTTTTTATATATACTGAGGGAGCATAACTCTGTAACACAGAAGTCAACTCTTCAAGGTAGAGTTAAAACCGGGAACTCTCTAGCTAATTTACCGAGGACTAATGCTGGGGGGCTCGACAAAATATATGTCCCCGGGTTACAAAATAGTCCTAGTTTGGCCAATGAATCAACCGAATCGTAGGCCCTACGTTTTATGAAACTAACATCAACATCCCATTTTTGTCCAAGTAGACTGATGATTCCTTGTAGAGTGGTGCTGTTGATTGTTTCCCGATTTTCGTCATTTATAGAATTAACAGCTTGGAGGGAGTCCATTTGCAGTTGGACTTTCTTAAAGCCCAAGTGGAAAGCCATTTGGAGCCCAATCAGATCGGCCCAATACTCTGACTCTAGTTCGGAGCATTCTCCCACATTTGCAATGAAGCCCATTATCCATCTTCCTTCATCGTTTCGAATGAGTCCTCTGGCTGCCGATTTTCTTGGCTTCATCATCACAGCCCCGTCGGTCTTAATTTTGACCCTTCCCCACGACGGCGGAGTCCAGAGCGGTGATTCCGGTCTGGAAAGCATGGGGTGGATCCGGTGGTTTTTTAGAGGGCAGGGGGTATTGGTCTGAAACTGGGCATTGATCTTCTGAGTTTTTTTGTTCCTCTGTTTTGGTGGTCATTGGTTTTGGTGAGGGAGGCATATTGCTGAGTGTTCGGCTAGGTCCAGTATGGATTGGGGGTTGCGATCTATTGGTTCCTGGTCGTTTTCGTTTTGGGTGTCTGGGTTGGGTTCTATTGGGGTTTTCTCTGGGCTGGACTCTATTGGGGCCTGTTGGGGTAGTATTGTGTTTGGGCTTGGGCTTGGGCTTGGGTTTGTTTTTAATGTGTTCCTAATCCATGTTCTCTCCCTGTTTTGGATTTCAGGTTTTGGGTGTCGTTTTGTGGTGATTGTTTGTATTGGAGCAGCCAGCAGTGAAAACGCAGGGTTTATTGTTCCAATTGAAGGTTGTCATTAATGTTTTCGTTCCTGAGGTGGTGGCAGCTTCGTGGGTATCATTTGCTAAACCTGCAAGAGCAGCAAATGGGTTAGATAGCATACCTTAGGATGTGCTAGTGACGGGGACAGTGGATTTGTGGTTCTTTCCGGTCACAAGATTGGTGGGGTAGTGGCATTTTCCCTTGGTCGCGTGGCTCCACTCGCCTAAGGATGAAGGTTTGAGAGGTTGTGTAGGGATTTGTGCTTTTTGTTGCTGCAGAGTTGTGTCCGTTTTTTTGTCGTTTGGCCTGTATGCCCGGTGCCCATTTTTTCTGGTCCCAATTCCAGTCCTTGTCCTGATGCACTTCCATTTGCCGGAGAGTTGATCGGAAAGTCCTTGCATTCGTGCCTTAGGTGTCCATATCTACCACAGGAGTAACAGAGTGTATGGAGATCTTCATATTCTATATTATAGTCTTTCCCATCTACTTTAGATTTCCCTTTTAGTGTCTTTTTGAGATCTAGCTCCACAGCGGATTCGGGCGTACTTGCCATGCTCGACTGTGATTGTGTGCCTGTCCGCCTTGATATATCTTCCCAATGGTTTAACAATTCGCCGGAGGAGCCCTTCATGAAAGTATTGGACTGACAGACCTAGGATGCGAATCCATGTTGGGCTGCATTCAAATTGTCTTCTTTTGTGTTGAACTCTTGATTCCAGGGGAGGACCAGTATGTATGCTTCATCTAGAGACCATGGACCATTTAATAGTGTTGCGTGGTAGTCTTCCTCGTTTGTGAGTCGGAGTATATGGTATCCATCAACTGTATCCACTGGCTTAACATCTCCTTTGGCTCTCCATAGTCCTTTAAGTCTTTTGCAGAGCCGATCGTGTCTAAATTCTTTCCCTAAGGGCTTTACAGCAACAGAGTATGTCATTGCTCGTTTCATCAGGACTTGAACTCTGTCCGAGAACCTAATTGAAGGGGTGCCATCTTCCTCTGGGTATATTACGTCGTCATCTTCAACAATGACCGTTTCCATATGGAAATTGTTAGTGAATTCAGTTTGTTGACCTTGAAGCAAACGATCCTTGAAAGATGGGGCTCCTTCAACCGGAATTGTGCTCTCCTGTTGGGGAGTTTGCTGGGTTTGTGGGTTTTGGGTGCTGGTTGTTTGGGTGGCTTCATATGACTCACTTCCAGCGTGATCTCTATTTTTCACTTTTCTAGTAGCTGGGTTATCTTTATCGTGATTTGTTGGTGGTGAATCCGTCATTTCCGTGTCCATTTTGGACCGGAAAGTGCAGGGGAATTAGAAAGGTACGATCAGTTGCAGAGGAAGGTTAGAGAGAGATTGTTCTTTGTGAATGGCTTACTTTATCCCATCAGTACTCCTGTTTTTTATTAACTAATGTCTCTACCTGCAGAAAATTGTTTGCCTATCGAAATCTTGAGTCAGCTGCCCAAAGCGTAAAACACGGAGAACCTTGAATTCAGACGGACATTTAATCAAAACATATTTGTGAACGGTCAAAAGTGTTTTGCTCTCCAACTTCAGATTGTGCGGGAAAAATAAGTGTTTATGATATCAGAGGAAAGTTGCGAAAACTGAATGAGATCTTTAACCACAAAAATATGTGTCATAAGTGGCAAAAGTCTAGCCCTTCCAATACAGGAGACAAACGCTTCGTATGAACAACTTTCTTATAAACAAAAGTGTTAGAGCTCCATGGATATGCAACTGCCCGCTTGGTACTTAAATAAACATATGCAAAATACATTACAGTGTCGTTTATTTAACTCCCTCCTATGGTCAGAACACAAAGGGTCCGAAGTGTTTCTGCATGAAGGCTTAAATATGGTTCCCATCAACATGCTATCGAGCGCATCCTGCATAGAAGAAAAAAAAAAAAAAAGTACCCTTAGCTGCCTCGAAAAATGAGTATGCCAACAGAATTGATTAAACCACGAAAGAAAGACAAGATATGAGATTATACTTGTAGGCATCCAGGAGAGCGCAGAGTATGCACTCTCCAGTCTAGCCATAAAGTCCGTTCAAGGAGAGAACAACAAATCTGAAACTGTACCTTGTCAAGCTTCTAGACTTCAGGTCACTCACTTTTTCATTTTTATCAGTTATTAATCTGTTATTGCCAATTCCAGATCCCAGCGCGTCCAATTCCTTGAGACCCTGAAGAAAGGACATCCATTTGTAAATTCTTTGAATACAGCAACCAGGAAGTACTAATACAATGTACATCCAACCAGAAATTCAATCAGCAATGCTCATTGCCAAGATATTACATAAACAAAGGGTGAAAGTACCATGAGACTAGGAACGGAGCTGCCAACAACTTTAAGTTGTTCCTGAAAATTTAAAGAGCACAATAACTTTAGATCGAGCATGTATAACCTCCATGCCTTGAAATGGAGAAATGACTACCAAAGAGTGATAAGTGCATTACTGGTAATTAGGAAGAAACAACACAAACCTGAAGTTTCTCGGGCATTTTTTCACGCTTTCCATTGACAACGCTACACAAGTACAAGACTCCAGTATTTGCAAGCTCCTGAAACATCAATAAGCAGATAAAATCGATATCAACTCTGAGAAAGACCAAATAGTAATCATTCTATTTCTAGTTTTAGACTACAAGAGCAGAAAATCATCTTTTTTTAAGTTCACACCTGCTTAGCTTCCAACGTGAGAAGTTTGTCATCCTGCATAAAAGAACGGCACATAAATGGTTAAACGGGTACAACTCAGTAGCCTCAACAAAAGACAAAACAGATGCATATTTCAACATGCTGCACCATAATCACTTTTGTGACTTATGTCTGCAAAATGGTGAAATATAGAAGACTTCGAGGAGAACACCAGCTGACAAATGAGGCAAAAAAAATCCCTTTAATCTGTTGTTTTCTATGTCCTTCCAGTCTAGTGACAATTGCAATCAACATTTTCAAATGCAACATGTTCAGGAATACAGACACCGCAGTGCAGCGACAACAGATTTTTTGCCCCTAGTATATTTAAATTCAAAATTATGCAATATTGGCAGCTGCTGAGTTTACTCAGGTTCCATATTTTGTCTTTTAGTTTATTAAAATTGACATCACAGATACCAGTTTCTAGCAAGATGAAGACCCAATAGTTTATGGCCAATCACGAGTACTGACTTTTTCAAAACGTAAACTAACAATATGCAAAAAATCAACCTACCAAACCAGTGACCATCCTGTGCAATTCATCCAAGTCACAGTTGATTTGTGAAAGATCACCGCGCACATCAGTGACCTGGTTCACAAATGAAAAAAAAAAAATAAAAAATAACAGATTTAGTTTGGTTCGGGGATCCACGAAACAACTGAAGCAGTAAGTACATAAAGTAACCATAAATTACGGCAAAAGGGGGTAAAGAAAAAGTTACATCAGATCGGATCAATTTTGAGATCTCCATTTGCTCATCTAGTTTGCCATCCAAGTTTTCAATCCTCTGAGTCAAGTGCCTTTTAGTGGCCTGATCCCACAAAAATACTCGTCAGGAATAAATCATACCAAAATTATGTGAAGGACCAACAAATTGTACTATTAGCATCCACAAGTCGGCAAAAAATTACAGGGAAAGAAGATAGAAAGGCATGTTATGTGTTAAGAAAATTTGGTCCCAAGATTTTGAGATTAGAGAACTGTATCATCTTTGGCTTAAGCAATAGATGTTAGAAAAAGGAAGAGGGGTTTGGTAGGAGGAGCATCTTAAAAAGCCAATTAGATCAGAAATCAAACCAAGAGAAAAAACAATATTAGCATGCTTAAGTTGTGCCATGCAAGATACCTGGACCAGAAAAAGAAACTATACTAAAAAGACACACAGCAAGATGCTTGGTCAAGTTTTCTACTGACAAAACTATCAGAAATCAAGCTCAAGAGTGAAACAACATGAGCATGCTTAAATGTGCCGTCAAAGATAGTTACACCAGAAAAAAAGCTTTGAAAAAAGGACACTCACAGCAAGAGCATCTGAGACATGCTCAAGATGCTTAGTCAAGTTTTCTACAGCAGTCGCCATGCCACGCTTTGTCACGTACATAAGGTCCGAGAATGAAATGCCCTGAAAATGTATGGAACGAACAGTGAGATAAAAATTGAAGGTTTAAAGGAATTTCTTGCAGTAAAAAGACAGATCATCATCCAAAACAAATAGTCTTGCAGGAAATAGACATCATCCAACATAAATAATAGCAACAATTATTTTGGAAAAGTAAAAGAGAACAACAAAGACAGTCTCAAGGCAGCAGCTGTCACACCTTCCACCACATGTATCCATATCCCAATGCACCCACAGCTGCAGCAGGCACCACCAGAGATGATAAGCCTGTGGAAGACGGGGAGAGATGTTAAACAGAACATAGCAAACGATCCAAATTCAAACATACAAAAATGCATAGACGTTGCCAACAGTAGCATAAAGCCCCAAATGGGCGAGGACTAAACCAAGCTAAGACAGTTCCGGTTCAATATATAACTCTATTGGAGGATGAGAACTCAACCGAGATAAGACAGAAATGCACAAACGTTACCAACAGTAGCATCAAGCCGCAAATGGGAGTGTACTGAACCAAGCCAAGACAGTTCAGGTTCAATTTATAACTAATCTGAAGGACTTTCAAAGGAAAACATGGCATCAACATGAAATGACACCATTACTCACACCTCCTGTGCAGAAATTGGAATTCACAAGTTTAATAGTACAAGATAGTAACAGAACTAACCAAACTGCTCAGAATTCCCATTGACAATAACTGTGCGACTATTTTGGGCCATATGACGCATTTGCTCTGTCAGTCGCCGAACCTGCAACAAACAAACAAAAACCAAAAGGATGAAATGAGTAACATTTCATTTTTACTGCAACTCAAAGGACAGAAACCCCAAGAAACTGAACATATATAATCAAATCCAGAGGCAAAAAGCATAGAAAAAATCTACTAGAAGAAATGAACAAAACTCTGCTTGCAATGCGGAGAAACTCAATAAATGTTCCGTTAATCCTATTTTAAGTTTCTTTTACCAATTAAGAACAACATTGCCGGAGGAAAAAACTGATCTTTGAAACCATAGTAATCTTTTCAGGTCTCAACGTCAACCTTTTGTTTTGACTCTAGCGAGAACTTTGAAACTCAAACGTCTGACATAGCTTCATTAATACCCCACATGCTCATTCTATGTAACCCAAATGTTCCCCTTTTAACACAAAAGAGCAATCAAAGAGATTCAACAAAGAATTCATGGCATTCTTCACAAATCTTAGTAGTCCTCAGAATAAGGCATGAACAAGATCCCACATAAACTAACTATTTCAAAAAGTTGCTAATGCACAATACCAATTAAGCACATGTGTCGAAATTTTTGTTCTTATATTTACCTGGGAAGCCAAATCAGAGTCACCTTCTCCTTCTCCCTCATGCTTCTGGATCAATTTCTGCCAAACACACAAAGAATAACCACAACCTAATCAATACACCATTTCAAAACATATAAATAGATGGCCAGTACACTCGTTACCAATCATCAAATACATAAAGGTCTAGAGTCTCCAATACATTCAAATCAAAAACAGATTCACATTACATGCAGATCTTTGAACAGAACGCAATATGAAACCACATTCAAAGGCAGTGACATGGATATGAATTTGTATATTATCATACTACACTGTACAGGTAGACAACCCACATAATGAAATACATAATATGTAATGACCACGCATATATTTAATACACACAAGAAATCCATGCAAACAGATCTGAAAAATCCTCTCATGCCCCAGTATGTAGAATGTGATTCTCAACTACAGTTATAGGCATATTAACCATTGAGTCCAAAATTATAAAAATAGATGCAATCCCAAATTTTGACAATTCCTTAGGTGTTGGTATACTTTGAATGTGAAAGTGCTAGACTTGTACTTAAAACTTAATGCATAAATGCTAGATTCTAATTAAATAAACTGTAATTTGAACTTGTGCAGCTAGTAATGCAGTGGGAGACCAAAGAGTGTCAAAGGAGAAACAGTCTATTCTATTTACATGAGTACCATGTATGCAATCTTAAGCCACTTTCTGTAGTTTATTGATAAAACCAACATAATATAAGCAGCAAAAAACAATTAAACCAAACCATCTAGACAAATACGAAACTGGAACAAAAAAAAAAAGGCTCAATGAATCATTCAAACAAGTAACATGGTCCGAAGAAACTATTCACTAGCTGAAACAAATAGGTGGCGAGAGTACCTGAAGTTCGGCAATCACATCAGACAATTTGCCGTTCTTCATCAATACAGTCCCCGTGTAACCTACACACAATATTTCACCGATTATAATGAGATCCAGCTCCCAAAACAAAAAGACCCAAATCAAAAAAAAAAAAAAAAAACCACCAAGTGAAGAAGTAGAGTGAAAAGGGATACCTGCGCCAACGATTATGAGGATCCTAGAGACACCCATACCAGCTTGCAAAGCCATTGTTCAGGAGTTGATCAATTTCTTCCCGATGTGAAATCAAAAACCTAAAGGAGGCGTTGTGGAGGGGGACTATTCTGCCTTTGAGAGTCGGCTAATGGGAAGAAACAGTTTTTGTAATAAAAAAGGTAAAGCTTTGACGTTTGACCAAATCGAAATTAGCCCAGCTGGTGTTGCTACTAAAACGACGCAGTACTATAGGCGATGTTGTTGGAACAAGCGGTTGTCGACTAAAAGTTCCACGTCATCACAGGGTGTTTTTTTCCTTCCTAAATTTGTTTCGCCCTTTTGAGGAATTGTGTGGTTCTAATTTAGGTAATTTATTAGGTGTACCCGGGGCACCACACTCTCTCTCATATTTTTTGCACTACTAGTCTTTATTGTACTTTTTTTTTAATTTTTCTAATAATTTTCCTATTATTTTTAAGTTAAATCTCTGTCACTTTTTTCTCTCTCTTCTTAAAAAACATCTCTAATATTCAAACGATCATATCTCTGAATCTGTGAAGAATTAGAAAACATGTTGCACATGAATTTTATTGTATTCGTCGAGATCTATCCAACAAGATCCATGTCGAATATTTTTTTTCGAGTTTAAAAATGACTAAATTTCGATGGGCAGAATAAGATGGATATCTAGTTTAGAAATATGGATAACCAGTTTAGTTTAAATTAAGATTCTTGTATTGCATATATCTCTTGATCCGTAAAGAATTAGAATACGAATTATGCATGAAATTTATAGTGCTCGACGACATCTATCCGATAAGATCCATGTTGAATATTTTTTTTGAACTTTAAATGCATTTAAATTTTACGGACAGAAATAAAGAAATGTGTTTTTCGTTTTTCTTTGAAAAATGGTTATTCGTTTTGTTCCTGGTGATTATCCAACCGGTTTGGACTGATTATCCATTCTTTTTGTACTTGTTATCCAATCATATTTTTGACATTCACTCTTCAAAAAAAAAAAAAAGAAAGAAAAAATGATTAGATAAGCATTGCAAACAATTTGGATAATCAATAGAAAATAATTGAATAATCAGTGCAACACGTTGGATAATCAGTACAAGAAACTTTGACAATCATTTTCATAAAAGAGCAAGGAAAAAAAATACTGGATAACCACCACAAAGAAGTTGGATAATCAATATGAACACATTGGATATCCAGTTTAAGAAGATAGATAACCAACTTATTTTACATTCATATTGTTGTGTTCCTTATATCTTTTGATCCATAAAAAATTATAACACGAATTATATATGAAATTTATAGTGCTCGACGAGATCTATCCAATAAGATCAATATTGAATATTTCTTTTGAACTTTAAATACATTTAAATCTTACGGGCAGAAATGAATACACTGAAAAATAATTATCCGTTGTGTTCATACTGATTATCCAACCGGTTTGGACTAATTACCTATTTTGTTTTATCCAATCATATTTTTTACATTCACTTTTTTTAAAAAAAAAAAGAAAAAAAGAAGATGGATAACCAACTTAGTTTAGATTGATATTCTTGATCCGTAAAGAATTGAAACACGAATTATATATGAATTTTATAGTGCTCGACGAGATCTATCCAACCGGTTTGGACTGATTATCCATTTTATTTGTACTTGTTATCTAGTCATTTTTTTACATTCACTCATCTTAAAAAAAAAAGAATAAAAGAATAAAAAATAAAATATTTGAATAAACATTACAAACAATTTGGATAATCATTGAAAATAATTAGATAAGTAGTACAAGCTGGTTGGATAACCAATACAAAACAATCGAACAATCATTTTCATTAAAAGAGCAAGAAAAAAAAAGTCGGATAACCATCCATCACCGAGAAGTCGGATGGATAATCACTATGAACACATTGGCCAGATTTTTTCTCAAAAGAAGAAAAAAAAAAGAAGAGAAATTTTGTTTGGATAATCAGTGAAAACGATTGGATGAGGCATACAAAACGGTTGGATAGTTAGTACAAAAAAACTGGACAAGGATTTTCGCAAAGAATAGAGAAAAAAATGGTCGGATAATTTATACAGAACAGTTGGATAATCAATACGAACGCATTGGACAACCATTTCTTTTTTTAAAAAAAAGTAATAATAAGAAGAAAAATCAAATGGATGGATATCCAGTAGAAACGAGTTGAATATCCAGTACAAACCAAATGGATATCCAGTACAAACAAGTGGGATATCCATTACAAACAAGTTGGATAGGCATACAAACCAAATGGATGGATATCCAGTACAAACAAGTTGGATAAATATCCAGTGCGTACAAACAAGTTATATAAGCATACAAACCAAATGGATTTGATATCCAGTACAAACAAGTTGGATAGGCATACAAACCAAATGGATGGATATTCAGTACAAACAAGTTGGATATCCAGTACAAGTGAGTTGGATATCCAGCACAAATAAGTTGGATATGCATACAAACGCGTTGGATTACAACTACAAAACAAGTTGGATAAGCATATAAACCAAATGGATGGATATCCAGTACAAGGGAGTTGGATATCCAGAACAAACGAAATGGATATCCAGTACAAACAAGTGGGATATCCATTACAAACAAGTTTGATAGGCATAAAAACCAAATGGGTGGATATCCAGTACAAACAAGTTGGATAACCAGTTCAAACTGGTTCGATAATCAGCATAAACACAATGCAACGGTAATCATACACTGATATCCCTGATTCCAAAGGTTGATTCTCCCACTAATGCAAGTGAATACAGACCCATATTCTGCTGCAACTCAATCTATAAATGCATTTCAAACATGTTGTGCACTAGACTGACTCTAAGTGCTGCCTGATCTGGTAGATTTAAATCAAGGAGCATTCATTAAGAAGAGGCTGATTCTCCATAATATTCCCTTGACTCAGGAGGTTATTAGGCTATACAACAGGAAGAATACAGGTCCATGTTGTGTAATGAAAGTGGACCTAAGGAAAGCATATGATTCAATACATTGGAGCTTCATAGAAGAAATGCTGACAGAATATAGCTTCCCCCAAAGTGTTAAAAAGTGGATTATGGAATGTGTGACCACCTGTTCATACTCACTGAACATCAATGGCAGTAGTAGTGGTTATTTCCAAGGACAAAGAGGATTAAGGCAAGGAGATCCTATGTCCCCACTCCTCTTTGTACTGGTAATGGAATACTTAACCAGGCATTTTAAACCCGAGGCAGAGAAAGGAGGGTTCAAATATCATGTGTTCTGTGACAAATTGAAGATTGTTTCACTGAGCTTTGCTGATGATCTGCTCATTTCCTGTGGGGCTGAAATTGACACTGTTAGGAGAATTAAAAAGGTTTTGGATCATTTTGCAGCTACAACAGGACTGAGCATCAACTTATAGAAATCTAGTATATACTTTGGTGGAGTTAATCAGTCAACTCAGGAGCAAATTCAACAAATTATGGGATTTGGAATTGGGAACTTTCCTATGAAGTATCTAGGTATGCCTATTTCACCAACATCCTGGACTAAACATGATTGTGCTGTGATGGTTGAGAAGATAGCAGGAAGAATCAGAAGCTGGTCAACTAGGCACCTATCATATGCTGGAAGGGTCATGTTGATCAACTCAGTCTTGCTCAACCTGAATGTCTACTGGGCAAGCATCTTCCTGATACCACAGAATGTGATTAAGGATATTGTGAAGTGTTGTAGAGAATTCTTATAGGGGAAAAAGGAGAATGGCAAAGTTTGGAATCTGGTTGCATGGGACACAGTTTGTAGACCAAAAGGAGAAGGTGGATTAAACATAAAGGATCCTGCAATGTGGAATAAAGCACTGTTGGGAAAACAACTGTGAGATATAGCTCAGAAAAAAGGTAGCCTGTATATCAGATGGTTGCATGTATACTATATCAAGAACAAAAACTGGGAAGAATAAACTGCCCCTCAAAGTAGTAGTTGGCATTGGAAGAAATTAGTCAAGCTGAAAAATCAGTTTTATGAAAAGATGAGAGCTGATGGAAGACAATTAGCTCAAGATGGGCAGTATACTGCAAAAATGGGATATCAATGGCTAAGGCAAGCAGGTGAGATATTTCAACCTACCAAGCTTGTATGGAGTAAGTACAGCCTGCCAAAGCACATCATGATTAGCTGGCTTGCTTGGCAAGGCAGACTCTTGACAGTGGAAAGACTGAAGAAGATGGGGATTGACATTGATGATGATCAATGTTTGCTGTGTCAAAGAACAGCAGAGTCTGCAAATCACCTGTTTTTCAGGTGTCAATACACTCAAGAAATAATCCAGGAACTCAGGAATTGGCTTGGGATGCAAAATGTGGTAAGAGGATTGCAGATTGGAAGAATCAGCCGCATTTGGAAACATAACGCAGTCAAGAAATGGATAGTCCAGGCTTGTTTGAATGCTGTTATTCACCAGACTTGGATGGAGCGAAACCAAAGAAGGGTCACAAAGCAAGAAACAGTAGCACAGGTGAGAGCTAGGAATATTAAAGAAGACATAACTTGTAGAGTTCAATTTATGTATAGGAAAAGGAAACCATCCGAAGTTAGTTATTTGACAGGCTTAAGCATACTTGTGTAGTATCTTATGTAATAGTGCAGGGAATGTAATGGTGTTTGTGTGCAGTTGAAATATACAAGCTTACCCTTGATAAAAAAA